GAAAAAGTTAAGATGACTTGTATTGCTAAGTAGGGCAAAGTGTACTAGGCAGAATACTTGCAGGCATAACTGCAACCAGTTTTCAGTCTTAATTAACAGTAAGGTATACATAAGGGCGCACAGTTCTCTTTCTGTATAGTTTGGTGTTCTGTGCTTTTTATCTTAGCAATCTTTTCATGAAGGAGAAGAGAGATAACAAATTACCACAGATCTCCTTTATTTACAGATGCATAAAAATCCTGTAGCAACTAGAGAAATTAATAGAACACATGAAAATATTAAATATTTCCAATGCTCTATTCTAAACATGACATAGAAGCAGGAAACCAGTAACAATTCCTGGCTGGGCAACTGTAAGCAAGCTGAAGCCACATGAGAGAAACTTTGCAGTTGATTTTTATATAGGAGTAAACTGAGGCAAAAATCTCATGCAATAGTTGAGTTTCTTCCAAACCTGGTGGCTTCAGTGTGAAATGAGGGAGCTCTGTCCTTCAGTAGACGTGCCATTAAACACACAAGAGGCCCTTACCAATTTCCTTGTGTGTCTGATAGAAGAGATGAAAACAGAATCCATGTTCTGCTTTAGCTGCTAAATTGGTATCTCACTCACGATGACTCACTGAACATTCAGTGTGCACTGATGCATTCAACAGTAAGATCCAGTGAAATAAGAGGAGATATCCCCCATCGTTCACTGATGGTGGCTGAGCCCCTACATTCTCACCAGTTTCCAAATCCGCAGTCCATCACAGCTTCCAGCAGTGCCATTTCCTCTTGAGCTGTCCAGTTAGGATCCAAGACAGGGAAATCTGAAGTCTGGAGAAAAAAGAAGCAGCAGATCAAACTGCTGTGATTCTCAGTTATAATCTACCATACAAAGAAAAGAAGAAGCTGCTGCAGACTACAGGGCAATACAGCACATAGTACTGACTGTTTTTCAGTTTTACTGTGTCTTGAATCCTGATAATTGCTGAATTACTAAAGTCATTGGGTCATCAATTGCAGTAAATACTAGTTTGTCACTACAGATCTCAATATGCTGTCACATGTGCTATCTACCAGTTGTAATTTAACGTTATGCCATGAAACAGTAACAATTACCAAAAACTTCTTAAGCAATTCATAAGGACAACAACTGAGAAACAGAAATTAATTTACATGGTTAAAGAATTGGAAAGTCCAGGGAAATGCATTGGTGCTATCCAGACAGAAGGAAAAACATAACAGAAGCATCTCCAATATTCCATTACGTGGATGGACATTTTTCTTTCCTCGCAAGGAAGACTTTTTCATTTATTTAATAGTCTAAACTTATGAATCCAAGAACTGTGTCAGTTACTGTTTTATGTGCTACTATTAAGCAAGGGTCTGGGAAATATGAGAGCTCGGGATTGAGTAGGTGTAACCCAAAAGGAATATTTACCATTATCTCGTAAGTGTGATCACTTTGGTGTTTCTTGTATTCAAATCCTCGTGTGAAACACTGCAGAACAAAAGAGGAGCATTAAGTTACTCTTTCTGCACTGAAAACATTGTGACTGGCTTCTTTTTTCCTTTTATTCTCTGACCACTGCTTATCCACCTTGATAAAAATTGACCTCCTGATATGCTGAAAATAGTATCTATTTTTTTCTGATTTCGTTTTTGAAAAAATGTGTGACAGCAGAACAGTTTGTGTTATAACTTTGAAGCTGTGTAGTATTCCGGGCTTTTACACCAAGATGTAACTTGTGTGCACCTCCATGCTTTTTGTTAGGTATTTACAGCCAAGTTAGGCAAGTAAAAGAAGCTTGGTGCTATGTTATGTGCCGTTCCTGGAAGAGAATGCACAGAGCATTCTGCAAGTATTGAAAGAGTGGTTTCCTTTTGGAGCTTTGAGAAAGCTCCATTTTCAGTATTAGAAGTTGTTGCTGTTTCTTACTCATAAATAATTAAAACTAACAATCCTTTCTCAGTGATCTGATCACATGTACAGTTTGTAAATAACTATTATCTGGTCAGAATTATTGTCTATATTGCAAATTTCCTGCTGATTTTCTTTGCCATTTGGGAGGTAAAAAAAAAAAAAAAAAAGCTGCAAGGACAGGGAGAGGGTGTTTCTTGATGGATTTTCTTTTCTGTGCCATAAAAGTGACAGAAACAACACCTCTCCAGACGTGCAGTGGCATGCTGTGTTACAATCAGGCGACTGCATGTCTTTAGCAAGCTCTGGCTGCCTTCACAAAGGCCTCATTCAGCTGCCCGTGTCTCAGTTCTTCAGCCTCCCATATTTTCTTTGTCATTTCCCTGTCCCTGAGCAAATAAGTGTGTTGATATGAGTTTACGGAGACCCGTTATTAATGTGTTTATGGAGCAGCCTGGCACCGGACAGCCTTTGATGACTTTCTCAGACAAATGAATGTCTTTGCTTTCATCCTTGCACTCACCTGCAAGCACAGGAGGAAGGGAGGAGGCCCACACTCTGCACACTTCACGTAGGGCTCGGTGAGGTACGAAGAGCAACCTCTGCACGGAGGTTTATCGAAGGGGTCATCTGCAAAGCCAGAAGTAAATCTCATGCAACACAAACGTGCTGCTTTTGCAATCACCCAAATTCACTTGTGTCCAGCAATTTAAAATGAACTCAGCTGTATGCAACCTCTTCCCTACTGATAAAAGTTCCTTCCTGAGCTGGAGTTGTAAGACAGCTATTGGCACTTAAGCTTTGCTATGGACCTGGTACAGAGGGCAAATCGTGCCATCACACTGGAGTCAAGGAACAGCTCTGCAGCAGCCGTCTGGTGCTGCTCAGCAGGGGTGGCAGCTGTGTGAGCTGGCTGACTTGACACAGTGCCCGGGGACCCAAGGCTTTATGGAGAACATTGCACAGACAGCAGCACTCCCATCCATCCTCCTCGTCTGACTCAAAAAGCATACTGCTGTGGTTGCAAAGGCATTGACTCGATTGTTCTGTAACCTGTCCAAACCCCAGGCTGCTGAAAGAGGAGCGAGACACTGCTCTGCGAGCTCACTGCAAAACAGTCAAAATACTGTCTTAAGCCATATTTTTTCTAAAATGCAATTTCAGTAGTAAAAAGCAGACAGAAGCAACATCTGAATCGCCACCAAATCACTCCTGTCCTCATGCAGCTGAGGATTTGATAGACCAGATGTCTCTATTGCTGCCTCCCTCCCCAGTTCAGACAAACACCTCCCAGCAGCACTGTGCTACTCACTGCCGAAGGAGGCCAGGCGCTCCATCCTGAAACTCGTGCTGCCCCAAACGCCGAGCACTGCGTCCAAAGCCGTGTTCTGGGCTGAAATCCTCACAGCATCCTGAGCACACAGCAGCTGTGAGCAGCCTGTCACAGGGACACAGGTGGGGTCAGCCTCTCGCTGTGCCAGAAAGGTCCGGTTGGGCATGAGGAATAATTTCTTTACAGGAATAGTAAGGTGCTGCTGGCACAGGGAGCGGGGCTGGTGGTGGGGGGGGGTCACCGACCCTCCAGGCGTTCCAGATCCGTGCAGGGGTGTGGAGCTGAGGATGCGGTCAGTGGGCACAGTGGGACGGGTGGGGGATCCTGGAGGTCTTTTGGAACTGAATGATTGTGTGATTCTGAGAGAGGTGAAGCGATGGGGACACAGGGCCCCAGTAGACAGTGACAGAAACGATGGCGGGAACCTGAGGGCCGTGTTTGTGTCGGGCAGATTTGGGCACTTTCCCATTGAGTCTGACGGGCGGCGCTCTGTGGGGCCCCACACGGGGCCGCAGCCTGGAGGACCGTCCGCCCCTCACCGCAAGGCGGCGCCCTTCCCGCCCCCTCGCGAGGCCCCGCCCCCTCGCGAGGCCCCGCCCCCTCGCGAGGCCCCGCCCCCCTCGCGAGGCCCCGCCCCCTCGCGAGGCCGCGAGGTGAGCGGCGGGAGCGCGCTGCCGCCCGCCCGCTCCGTTTTCCTGTCCGCCGCGCTTTCCATCTCCCCCGCCCCGGATCCGACTCCTCCCCGCCGTGGTACGCTCCCGACTTCCCCCTGGCCGCTGCCGGGCCGCGCCCCGCCGCCTCTCACCTCACGCCGGGGCAGTTCCCGCGCGTCACGGCCCTCGCGCGGCCGCGTAACGGCCGTGCGCGTGCGCCGAGGCGCCGTGCGTGCGCGGCCCCGTGCCGTCCCGCCCCGCCCTTCGGCTGCGGGCAGTGCGCGCGCCCGGCGGGGGGTTGCGGAGCCCCGATGTCGGGTTCCCATTTTGGGTTCCTGAGGCGGCAGGGCGCCGCCGGGCCGCGGGTTCGAGGCCCGCTCTGCCTGCGGGCACGGGGCCTGGGGGCCGCATTGGGGCCCGCACAGCCTCCTTGCGGCCCGGAGCTCGGGGCGATGCCGCAGGTCGCTGTGCCTGCCGGGCACCGCGCCGTGTTGGACCTGCGGCCCTCGCCCAGCGCTCGAGGTCGCGTTACGAGTTCAGCCGTGCGTCCCTTGGCGCTGCTCTTGCAGCCGAGGCTCTGCCCGCAGCCCTTGGCGCCGTCACCTCGGCCCCGTGCAGCTGCTGCCCTGCTGCCGCCGGCCGCTTTGGGTGCAGCCCGGCCGGCGTCCCTCACAGCTGTGTGGCGGCGGCTCTGCTGAGCGGCGCTGCTGGAGGAACGCGCTGTGAGGCCCGCAGGTTGCTCCTGCTCAGCCGTACCGATCCCGAAGCGTTTAATCCCTTGCGTGGGAACTCGAGCTGAGAGCTGTTCTCCAGCAGGCGGGTGCAGCCTTTGGCAGTTCCTGTCTGGGAGGTGAAGAGGCCCGAGACACAGATGGCGAATAAAGTAGAGATCCCATCCGTAACGTGCGCCGCCTCAGCCCTAAAGCTCAGCAGTGAATATCCACGTTGCTCCTGCGAGGCTGGGGAGGAGGAGGTGCTGCTGTAGGATGGGTTCGCTGCATGTATGCTCTGAGCTGTTAGCGAAGACCAAAAACATTGGAAGTGATTTATTTCTCCTTCTTTCCAGGCCTGAAATGAGTGCGTAGAAAGTAAACAGTTGAGGGAGGCAGAGTTTGGAATGTCAATGAAATATTTATTGCTTATGCCAACAGGTTTTTCTAGTATCTGGGAATTAAAACATGAATCCAGGTAGTTAATGGAAGGAATCAGCATGTGGGTGTCTTCACAGCACCTCATTTTGCAGTGAATTGATGTGATTGCTCCTAACCAGGTAAATGTTGCTTCTGATGTCTGGTTTCAGTCTGCAGCTGTTGAAGCTGTGGTTATTTAAGCTGCTGATGTCCAATCTGCTGTTCCCAGTAAGTGGTGAAGAGGAAGACGATGCATTTTTTGTTGGTAAAAGGGTGTTTCTCTAGCGCCTGCATTTCTTAAGTAGGTTTTGTGGATAACAATAATTGGAATCTTCTCATGTAAGGATCTGGCAAAGGAAGAAAAACTATCATGAGGAATACTAAGCACCCCTCTTCCTAGCAAGCTATACCAGTGCTCGTGTTTTGTTTTTCAAATCAGTAATTAGTGGAATGACATCTCTGGGCTGAACTGAACTAAAGGTAGCAGGGACATAAAAAGCCTTCTGCCCTAACTCTGTTTGAACGGTTTTCAGCTTAGGAGAGGCCAAAAGGTGTTACCACCTGATGGCTGTTCAATGGCTTGTGTGAAATGGCTCTTAAGGGTCCCCGTTTAATTTCCTAACCTCCCACTGTAGCACATTTCTCACAGCACCGTTACACTCCAGGAAGGTCTAAGTGGATAATTTGTAATGAATAATGTGCTTGCCTTCTGCCTTTTCCTACTCAGAAGTTTTAACAAATGAAGTGATTTTCATTTCTCCCCTCCTTATTTACTGATAACTCCTGCAAGTTAAGTGTTCTTGAGCAGTTTGTTCTGTATGTGCAGTATCTGGAGAGTTTCTTGCATGCTAACAGGGCTGAGCTCTCCAGCCTCAGCAGGAGGCAGCAGATGGGGAAGGTGGCAGACACAGTGAGAGGAAGGAGTAGAGTATAGCAATTGTACCTCAGCAGTTTGCTTAATGGCGTAGGAAGCATAAGATTAAATCATTTCTTCATGAAAAGGCACCTTAATAGTTCATTTCCAGGGTTGCAGGAATATTTAGTTTTTTTTTTGTTTTGTTTTTTTGTTTTTTGTTTTTTTTTTGTTTTTTTGTTTTGTTTTTTTTAAGTGGAAGGAAGTCTTCAAACATGTAACTGTTGCCTAGATGCTCCCAAACTGAGCTGACTGTGAAGGGCAGACTGGCCCCATGCATCCTCCCAGTGCTGACAGCACCGGCTTCCCTCTGTCCACACCAATGGCTGCAGCAGGACAGTATGTAAGGCTGAGCCCACCCAGCTTCCCTGGGGCACAGATTTGGCTATCTCCTCACTACGTAGTACCTCATTTTCACTTTGAAATTTGCTTGGACGGAGTCCTGCTACCCCTTGTTCAAAGTTTGAGTGGCACTGGCTGGTAATACCTGTGGAAGGGATTCTGGGAGTCAGGCAAAACATAGCACTGGCTTCTTCTTTCTGTTCTCAGGTAGCTGGGCTGAGAGTGTTCCTGACTGGCGATCCACTGGGGTGGAGGCTGCAGATATGCACTTGCTTCTGCTCCATCTGCTGCCAATCCAGTCACGGCACGAGCACTTAAGAAGCAGAATCAGTTAGAGTTTACTAGGAGATGGTGGGGAATACCAACTTCTCAATGCTAGGAAAAGACTCTCTCTGGTCAGGCCATGGTGAGTATTAGGGGATGTTTGGGAATCGAAGTAATGTGACTTCACAGAAGTAAATTGGCATATCAGCCCCAGTGTGTTTTGATCTCAGTGTCTCCTTCTTGCATGCATGCGCTCACCAGTATGCTAAAATAGTTCATGCTACAGCCTGGAAAGAGAGGGTAAACCTCCTTTCAAAGTCTTACCTATGCTGTTCTGTCCCCTAATCTGTCCTTCCTGTGACATCGGGGTGACATCTGGCACCTGGCCAGCAGCACAAGGCTGTTCTGGGCTACTTTCTACAGAATTGCCTCACACTGACACCTGTAATTTGGGTAGTAGCTGATTACAAGCAAAAAAGACATGCCAGCCGTAAGTAATAGCTGCTAATGTGCTACTCTGCTCTGCTGGGAAGGAGGAGCAAGGTTTCCTCTAGGAGGAGCACTGTCCCAGCACATGAAGGGGTTTGTGAGATGGACACAGTCAGCACGGTGACTGCAGGACACGTGCACATCTCAGAACGTGTATTTTTCTTGTCCCACTGGGCTGAGCAGGCAGGTTCTGTCCACACCTGTAAATACAGTTCTCCCTTCCTCAGAACTCAGTAGCAGTATTTCAGCTAGTCAGCGCGTGGGACTGGGTGAGAAGCTGTTGTTCGAAAACTTACCAAGTGGCTTATTTCATGTATGAAAAACATGATATAGCATATCACGGGAGCTAACAGGATGCAAACGATGAACGCTTTCATGATGATAGCTATATTTTGTTTGATCAGCAAATCTTTGCCATTTGCGGATGGAATTCTCTCTAAAATGAGATAACAAAAGAATATTTTAGATGTGTTTGCAAGTCCTTGACCATTCAAGATCTTCTTCATTTTGGTTAGGCTGGGCTGAGTAAAGTGGGTTGAGCAGAGCTTTCAGTGGAAGCTATACATCTCTCTGGAATCTCAGAATCTTTTTACTTTAAAATATTTCAGATATCTTTCAGTTGCTGAGAGGTCCCCAGAAGCAGCTGGTATGTAAGTGCTGTACAGCACTGTGGATCTTCTGCTGAAGGCCAGTGAGGTTGTGAAGGAAAGCTAGGAGCCCTTGCTTGAACATGGATGAAAGTCAGTACTTAAATACTGGTTTCTTATTACAGCTGTGGATTCACAAGGGACCCGGGACAATATATTTATTTGAGTCAGTGTAGTTATTCAGAGAAATTACTGCTTGAGAGGACTCAGGCTGAGCTGTGTGTGTGAAAGGCACTACCCTCTCCCATCCTTACACCTACTATTACACTGCTTTTGTGGCTCAGCAGGGAGAGCTGGCACCTACCTTGGGAGGTCTGCTGCACTGGGTGCACGCGTGGGGTAGATGAGCCATTGGAAAAAGCTTTCTGCTTGAGTGGTGTTGCTGTTATAGTGTGATTCGAAATCACTGCCAGAAACACTGGAAATGACAAATTGTGAAGCCAGAGATTTGTTTGAACTGAAGAACCTGAAGCAGTTTCTAGAATTACTTGCATGCTGAAGCAGTTGAGAAGAAGCAATGGAGCACCCAGCAGTACAGTGCCAGAGCACGGAGCTTTCTTGCTGGTATGCCATTTCCCAGTGTGCAGAATTTTCCTTCTGTATTAATATTGGAAACTATATTTGCCAGAATCTCCCGTCTCTCTCAAAAGAAGGGAAAACAGCAGTGTGGAATTGTTCCTTAACATGAACCTTTCAGTAGTGTTAACTGCAGCATTACTCTCTCCTTAGTTTTGATTTCTTTGTTTGAGAAGGTACAAATAATTTTTTAAATAACCATTACCATATCAACTATATGAAAATGAAGACTGCTATCCTTTCATATACTTAAACAGACATTTGTTACACTGAATTTTTTACCTTTGCTTCTGAAAATAAATCTTCTATGGAACTGCCTTCTCGTGGATGTCCGTAAGACACAGGTGTGGTTGGTGCCCCTGGCTGTGCTGGGGATGACCTGCAGGCTCTCCACAGTGCATTCCTCTGCTACCCACTCTGTCAAATCTCTGTGCATCTTCCCCAGGTGCAGCAGATTTACTTGCACAGAGCTTTGATGACTAAAGCATTCCAGAAATGTAACTTTATGGTTTCTACTTAATGTCTCTCTGGTTTCAGCTATCCCAGGGGCTGGAAAAAGATAAGAGCTAGATGTTAGTAAAGGTTTCTCTTAGATTGGATGAAGTTCCTCCCACGAGAGGTTCAAACCAGCAGTTAGCTGTGAAGGATGTGCTGCTGTAGGGAAACTGCAGAGACAGCTTGGTGTTAGTGTTACAGCGAGGAGAATTCAAGCAAGTTCTCTGTTCTTATTTCCTTTGTTACTGTGTGGATGTTGGACCACCCAATGCTCAAGCATTGTAATCTGGTACATTCCCAAGGACAACGTTGGCATCAGCTAACCTTACAGCAGCCTAAGCTGTTGTGGGCAGCTCCCTGATCAGTGGCCAGAGGCCGACCTCCTGTTTGGGATCCCTGTTGCCTTGGGGTCTCATGCTGAGTGGGAGCTGAGGCTCTTGGTCCCAACACTCAGGTGCCAGGAGCTGGGTGCAGGTACCCCGCTGTGATGAGGCAGGGGCAGCTCTATCAATCTAGCTTTGCAGTAAGTCCTGCAGTAACTTTGCTTTCTTTGCTGCAAGAGTTGGCTGAAAATTTCAGATGTTGCACATAATGATTGCAGGCAAGTGACACTAATCCATCGAAGGTTATTGGAATGGTCTCTTTGGTTTCTAGCAATACAGAACTAGAATTCTGCATGACCTCTGTAATCCTTTTTGGCCAGGTGGCTTAGGAAGAGCTGAGACCACAGAAAAGGCTCACCGTACCACTGACAGCCGTGACAGCTCTCCTGCTCATGGGCTCTCACCTTGCAGGAAGACATCCAGGTTTCGCACGCGGCCGGCTGCCCAGGCGTTTCCCACGTGGCATCTGTAGTCCCTGATGTCTGCAGGGAGCAAAGGGAAGGATGAGTGCCTTCGAGCTGTGATGCAGTTAGGTCAGTACTTCCCTCTTTTTGGTAACTAATTTTAAATATCAACATTTTGCTGACAGCAAAAGTGCTAGAATCTGGGGTGATGGCCAGTGCATTAGAGACTGTGTTAAGCGTAGAGATTCAGTTCAGCACACAGTAAAGTGACAAAATATGTAACATTAGTAATGAATATTTTTATAAATTTCCTACAGAATCAATATTCGGTTAGAACTTGCAGTTATGTGAGCAACTTACCTTCTCTGATGAGACTCTTGTGCACTATCACCAAGCTGAGTATTAATAGTATGACCATAATTGCACCTGCTCTTCACAGTCTTGAAGCTGTTTTTATCTTTATTGCTTTCTCTGAGCTGTTGTACAGGTGTTCAAGCAGATACTGTGCTGATTAGCAGAGCTCCTGGAACAGCTCTGTAATCATATATTCCTGCTGAAAACTCCTGTATCTTTACAGCGGTTGACTCATGCAGGGCTTAAAGTGAATGTCTTAATTATGATAGATTGTATGAATTTCTAGTTCTGAGCCAGTCCAGCAAAATGGGGACTTTGGTAAGAAATAGACCTGAAGAAAGCCTTCTCTGTCAGTCAAACTCCCTTTCAATAGGTTCGTCCCAGATGAGGTGTGGTCCTGAGCACAAATCTCAGGGCTGCACGCTGCGATGGGTGATGCTGGTGTGTGGAGCTGGGAGAGGGCACTGGGCACTGGGGTTGCCGTGGAGATGCTGGCTGCTAAGGGCTCAGCTGTTCTAGAAGCCAACAGAACCCTCACCTCCACACAGCCCAGGCTCTTTGTGGCTTTGGATGTCAATGCTGAGTGCTGCAAATGCTTAGGAAAGGGTGGGAGCCTGTGCTTGCCTGCTGGCCCTGGAGAGTGAAACCCCACAGTTCATGGGGCAGTGAAGCCCAGCAAATCCTGCAGCCAAAATGGGTGGGGAAGTCTGGCCAGAGTGCAGCTGTAACCAAAGAGTCCTGGTGAGATTGCTGTAGTCACAGGGTGGATTGGTTTTGGACAACTGGCATTTTCTACATTAGTCAAAAGGTGGCGATGGAAATAATTTCTTTCTCCAAAGTCTCTGGCTTTTAAGTGCTGAATAACGCAGGTTTATGTCCCCGATCACAAGAGGAAAGGTAGAGTGTTTCTGTTGAATCTGAAGTGACCCCTGACGTTTCATGTGACTGATACCCCAGAGACTTGAGAAAACTGCTAAATATTTTCCTGAGGTGCCAAGTTTATTCATAATTGATATCCAGTTATCGTAAGCTGAAACTACACTCATCACAAAGAATGACTATAGAATAAGTAAGTATGTCATTCACCATTGTCCAGTGCGAAAAAAAACAAGAATTTGAATATTCCTGAGAGCTATAGCCCCCCCCAGCCCTCCCACCCAGAGCACTGTGTAAAGAATATGTAGTTGCAAATCACCATTTAATCAGCAGTTGAATTCATCTTTTATTTTGGAAATAGTATATTGATGCGAATAAAATAAAATGTTCACTCACTTCTCTGCTTGTGAAATGTAGTGCGTAGATGTCTGAGGGAGATCTGCCAGGATCCTTTGCAGAGGAGGATTTCATCATCTTGTCAATGAGCGTTTTCTCACTCAGTGCATCTGAGCATGTGTCTGTAGTATCTGTGGTGTTTGTTGGGGAGGGATTTTGATTTGGATAAGAGAATTCACTTCTGTATCCCCCTTTAAAGTGATATTTCCATACTTGTTAATTTTTATGCAATGTTCCCAAGATAGAAATCACTAGGAATCCAGTGTTTTTCAGCCTTGTAAATAAAAACTCAAAAATACTAAAAAGAGAAGTAGATTTAAAATAATTTCAAACAATTAAATGTTCATTTTTAACGTGGCTGCCTAATGCTGTTGCTAAGTTTTCCCATCCCATCCCGGAACTTGGTTTCACTTTGTGATTCTTTCTGTTGTTTCTTTGGGCTGGGGTTCTGGCACAAGCCAATCTGCAGATTTGCAACACATCTTAGGACATTTCCTGAAACGGTGAGGGAACTTAGGGCCAAGAACAGCACACCTTATGGACTGAGTGAGCTGGCAGCTCACCCACCAGCCAGTGGCAGGGTTATGGTTATCCTTGAGAACACGCAGCTGCTGTCACTGTTGCAAGGGTTCGTGTTTCATTTCTGATGTTTAAAATCTTCTGCAAATAGCTAGAATATGATTTCGCTTTAAAAATCACATCTGACCTTCTTCTCTGCTCCTCACTTGCCAGGACACAAGCTCTGTGCATGGCGTCAGCACCCCCCTCACCTGGAATGATCCCTCTGGTGTTTGCAGTGGTGATGTTATCAGAGCCTGGGGAAGAGCCATGGAACCCTGGTTTGGCCTCATGGAAGGTAGGAACGTTTTCCCTGTATTTTTTTGGAAAATGGTTTACTTGCATTATTAAAGGTATGATTGCTTTTTTGAGAATCCAAGGAGGAGAAATTTCCCAGAAATTTCACTGAATGGCCTAAAAGCAGGTTGTGATTCAGCATGGCAAATCATTATGGCTGGGTGCTCCTTACCCTGCACCCCTAAATCAGTTACTGTAATTCCTCCCAAATGGCATTTCTTGTAAAAAGTCTTCCACCAGTACTTGCTCCTAGTGAAGAGCAGTGTTGCTGCTGGCTTCAGTGGGAAAGAACAGCTGTGAGATACAGGAAGTTCAAAGCTTTTATTTGCTTGTACAGTTGATATAATTTAATATTTTGGGAGGTATTGTGTGCTGCATGTCTGCCAGCGGGCTGCTGGCAGCTGTCCTGGTGTGGGATGTGTGTGGGGATCCGTCTGTGGAAAGGCCATGTGTGGCTGTCAGATGTGAATGAGCTGCTGGGAGGGCGGCTGTGGGCTGTTATTCCTGCCCAATTCCAGCAGCACTTTCCAAATCTGTGCTTGCTTTTTCATGTTGATGTATTTCTTGAGATTTTCTTGCATTCTTTTCTCTCTTTGCCCTTGAACCAGAGAGTTACTACAGGATTTAATGACATGTAGCAATCACTCCTCCAGCATATTTGGACAGCATTTATTAGCTAAGGGATGACGTGGGCAGGGCAGAGCAGCATGCAGGTTATGGCATGACCGTGCTCGGAGGGCCGGGATGAGCCAAGCACTGTAGGGTACCCACTGGGGTAGGTAAGGCTGTGTGTAGCTGCTGTCAGCTACACCATGCTGGGCTCAGCACCGTGTGCTGGGGCCATCACCGTCCTTTGGTCTGCTTCAGAAACTCTCCAGCTGTAGAAAGGTTCCCCACGCAGCAGCCGGGTCCCCGGGTGTGCACGCAGCTACCCGGCCTGCACCGGCAACGGGACCTCGGAGCGCAGCAGTTAGTGGTGCGGCGCTCACGAGAATCGCAGCTCCCCCCGCAAGGCAGGGCGCAGCAGTCGGAGGGCACTTCTTCACTGCGTGCTGCTGCGGCGAGGGGCGCGCAGGGAGGATTCAGGCGGTGGCCCCGCCGTCCGATGGGTTCGGCCAGCCACCCGTGCCTGTGCGGCGGATGGGGACCGGGCCACGCAGCCCCGCAGCGGACTCCCGCTCCCACACGTGAGGACGCATCGGGGCTGCGCTGCACTCAATGCGTCCTCGGGGCCTCCGGCCGCGGCGCCCCGGAACGCGCGGCGCGGGGAAGGCACACGTGTGGGACCTGCGGGCCGCGCCAACGCACCGCGGGACGGGGAGCCCCCCTCCCTCCGCCAGCAGCCAATGGGCGCGCCGCGCCGCGCCGCTCAGGCCATCGGCATCTCCTCATTGGCCACGCCCCGCGGGCGCCGCCCGATTGGTCACGCCCCCCGTTTCGCGCCCGCCGCCAGCCAATGGGAGTGGCGGACGGCCGGGCGGCGGGAGGGGAGGGGTTAGAGGTGGTTGACCCGAAGTAACCCCTCGCATCACACCACCGCGGCGGCGGGGGGCGGGGCCGGGCGGACGGGGCGGGGCCGCGGGCGGGACCGGGGATGGGGGGGCAGCGCCGCGCCCCCAGCACCGCCGTTGCCCTGCACCAGGCCGGGGGCCCGCGGCGCCTCCGCTGCGCCCGGCACACTGAGGTGAGCAGCGAGACGGGCCGGGCCGGGCCGGGCAGGGCGGCGGTGCGTGGGGCGAGGAGCGCCGAACCGCGCTCGGGGGAGGCGGCGGGGCCCGAGCCACGGGGAGCGCGTGGGGCCGGGCCCGCCGGCATCGCGCGGCCCGGGGGGAGCGGAAGGCTCCGCGGGCGTCCCGCGTGGGCGCGGCTCTCGGGGCTCGGGTCGCCACCTCGGATCCCCCGGCCTCCGCGGCGCGGGGATGCGGGCGGCGCGCCGCCTCGTGCGCGGGGATGGGCGCGGCGTGGCCGGGCTCCGGGAGCCGGTGCGGCGTGGGACCGCGGTCCTTCGGGCAGCCGGCGGTGGGCTGAGCTCGCGGGGCTGCGGGGCCGGGCCTTGTGGGAGCGCCGTGCCGCGTTGTTGCGCTCTGCTCTTTCTGTGCTTTTATGTTTTCTTGTGAGGGTTCTCGGGTACGACGTACCCGTTGATAGCTGGTTCGGAGTGATATCGTAGTCCATTCCGGACCGGTGGGCTGCGGGTACCCGGCTGTGCTGGTGCTCTCAGGCGGTGGGAGTCGGACGCAGCCCCGGGTGACTTAGCAAAGTGCGATTGGTGTGAATGCAGGCTCTGCTTCTTACCTTTATGTTTCCTTGGTGGAAAAGACAGATAAATGTTTTACCTGGGACGACCTGGAAGCCCATTCCTCTAACGGGTGTTGAGCTATCTGTGCATTTCAGATAGATGTCGTGAGCTTTAAAATCCAACAAGAACTTCCACCTGTGGATGCATGCGAGAGTTTGCGAGCCGCCCTGCAATGCAGAAAAAGCAGGAGAGTTTCACTGGGCGTTGGATGGTCGCTGAGTGGGGCTGTGTGGCTGGGGCAGGGCACACATGGAGCAGCCACGCTGCAGGAGAGAATGGCTCAGGAGGTTGGGTGGGTACAGAAGCATCTCTGCCCTCTGGACTCAGCTTCCAGCCCTCTGCGGGCGCTGTGCTGCTCTGCTCAGCAACGTAAATCCTTTTTCAGTGGGGTGGCTTGAAAAACATTCAGAACTTGGTTTCTGTCTGCTGTTAAGTGATCTTCATGCCTGGGTATGGTTTACTAGAATAAAACAATCTTGTCATGAAAACTTCTTTTCCAGCCTTGGTGATTCTGTGAAGATCTAATGTTTTTATGTGTGTGTTTCTTTGGCAAGCCAGATATGTTTCTTTATGGCTGTAGAGTTGTGGAGAAATGATTGAGTTTTGCTCTCCCTCAGGCAAAAACAAGTCCATCTGTAAATTTGGACTGTAGAGTTTTCATTGCTTGTAGCATTAGGCATACAAAGAGCCTGATTTGGGTATTAAATGCCTTGATGTCTGCAGTGCTGGGGAGTTAGGAACGTGTTATGTAGCTCTGGCTCCTGATGGGAGCTGGTTCCTTCAGGAGGGAGGAGTGTGGCTCAGATTCTGCAAGATAAAACTGTGATTTAACCCATGTTTGTGTAATTGAGCAGGCTTACGGTGCATGACAATACATGTTCTTAAATCCCTGCAAAATGGAATTCTCAGGACATATCCCGCTGTAGCGTACAGAGTTTCTTTTAGTGTACATGTGCAAGTTAGCCCATTTGACAGCAGTTCCTACCCACAGAAATAAGCACAGGGCATGTAAATAGCTGAGGAGGCAGACAGTTATTTTGCAGTGACTTGTTCAGTGTTATTCACACACGTGGAACATCTGCAAAGGGTCGCAGTGCACAAGAGCGTGGCGGTGCTTTGCTGGGGTGAGGAGCTGCATTCCAACCTCTGCCAGCTGGGCTTCAGGAGGCCAATGCAGCACACTGTGCTTTGGTGGAATGCTGGTGTTCTGTTTGCAGCAGGGAGAGCAAAAGGCATCTGCAGAGACGTCTCTAAGAAGTTGCATGTTTTAACTGCCCCCCGAGAACGTTATGATTAAGTAAAATGTGGATAATGAATGTCAGTGTACTGAGAACAAGCTGAGCTTCTGTGAGGTTTGATGCCAGTTTGAGTTCACAGGTGGTCACAAGGCTTCGGCAGAGCTCATGGCATTGCGATGCACCTACAGGGGTCAGAAATGCATCAAAGTGCACTGAGTGGAGCTCTGTGGGCAGCTGATTGCCATAGGGCTGAGCTGTGTGCATGCAGTGCATCAGTGCAGTTGTTGGAGCACAACGCTGGGGTTTGGTGCTTCTCATGGGGCATTTGCCTGAAGTGCTCCCCTTGTTTTGCTCTGCCTCCTTCTTTACTTAGGGAAAAAAATAAAGCCTTGAAAATATAGTTATTAAAGTGTGAGTTCTTTAAAAACCCCTTTCCTTTTTTAAAAAGGGTTGGTGTTAGTTTGGCTGCATCCCAGATCTGGTGCTGGTTTTGCCAACAGTAAATCCACCTGAATGAAATTCTCTGGGAACTTTGTGATGGAAGAGTACGTGTGCACATAACACTGTCTTCATGTTTCCGTGTAAAAAGCCAACCTGATCAAAGTTTTCTATCTGAGCAGTGGGAACGAGCCTCATCTGAGCAGCCTGGTTAATGGAATCTCATGGTTTAGTTTCTGCATTCTCAGGTAGGCACGCAGACCTCGCAGTCACGCTTCTTGTTGTTTCCCTCTTCCACCCTCACGAAGAGGCAGGTAGATCCACCTCTAACACCTGTATCGGGTGGGCGTCTGTGGCTTTCCAGTCATAAAATGGTTAAGGACATCTCCCTGTAAAATGAACTGCCCCTGGCCCGGGTGAAACTGGAGTTTGTGGGAGGAGTGATGTCAACACAGAGTTGGGTCTGAATAATTCAGTCGATACGGTCACAGTAAAATTGCATAAGCCACTTGGATCTGTTTTTAATTTTCAGTTACTGATGGGAAGAAAGAAATGGTGCTCAAGGATTGCAGTGTCTATAAACTTCTTGTCTGTGTTCTAATTAGAGCTTAGGTTGTGTCCTGTTAAGTGCTATAACATCTGGTTTTGCCTGTGTACCGGATGTAAGCTGTCATGTTCCCATCAAACTGCTCGTGGTGCATCTCTGTGCTTGCCCCATAGCACGGCCCATTCTGGCAGGGTTGACATGGCCCTCCTTCCTTTGGGACGTCAGTGTGGTGCTGAAGGCACCAAGCCCATCTCTTCTGCATGGTAATGTGCCACTAGAAGGGCTGGGGCCCTGAGATGGCTGCTCCCTGCCTTGTCCTTGTCTGTAGTGCTGCATCGCCGTTACTACACTTTTTTTTTTTTACAGGTAACTGTTGGTTTTATGCTATCTCAGCTGTGTTTTCTAGCTCCTGGTTTTCCATGAGGGTTCTAATTGTCATTGGGATTTGCTCTTGACCATCAGGTTCAGCTGATAGTGGCCAGCAGATTGAGAAGTTCAGAGACAGCAGAGGAAAAAAAAGCCATAAGCTGGTAGCACTAGCCCAGAGTATCATTTCCTATAAGAACAGTGCAAAACTGCATGGAGGGTGTTGGGGTCTTCCTGTCTTGTGTGTGTTCCTTGAGGCATCACAGGTTTCGCTCCTGCTTTACTCAGTGGCTCCAGATGTGTGGGCCTTTCTGTTCTCTACACTTCTCTACTGATTTTTTAATTACATGCAGAGTATTTTTATAACAGTATTTATCTGTTAATTCTTTTGTTTTCCAGTTCATTTTGGAAGTGGATAACTGCTCAGATTGCAAGAATAACAAGAGGTTAGTGCATAAACATTCCTAGTTTTTTGATTATTTGATTTCCATTTGTGTGTAAATGCATCAAAGCTGGGCAGAGCAGAACGTGTCAGACAGTAATTCACCATCCCACCTGTCTTGGGCTGTGCTCTGAGGTACTCTTTTGTTCTCCATCTCTTATGTTCTTTCTTTCCCACTTGCTAACCTCACCGGAAATTATACTAGTTTGTTGGTGGCAGTTGTTACACTCAAGTGGTCTGGAAAGCATCAGAACTGCTGGAGAGTGTGCAGTGTGAGCATGCAGCTGGAGCAGAGGAGGGAAGAGGGAAGGATGGAGTGAGCCTTTGCCATGTGACAGTACTGTGTTGTTAGTGCTGTTAATGTCATCGTGCTGGTAACTTGTCCTCAGATGTGAGTGAGCTTAGGAGACTGAAGTCTTCATAAACTTGGGCATTTCAGGTTAGGAATAAAGCAGTCCTGCTTTGCTGTCAGGGAGCTGTGTGCTGTCTGCTCCCCAGTTTTCAGTAGGGCAGCTCAGATTTCTGAAAGAATCCTAAGTAACATGGGGTCTTTGGAAAAAATGTAAGAAAGAATGCCTTACATTTTCCTCTTTTAAGTACCTTTTGCAGCTTTGTAGGTTTTGCAAAAACTAGCAGGTTTTGCAGCTGCTTTGAATTCGGAGTCCTTGTGCAAACAGAAAAGTCAGTGATTGTAACATAAATTACTATTCCCTGGACTCCTGTCTAGGTTCAGCTATTGTGTTCTGGTGTTGTACCATTGCATTTCCAATTGGAAGCAAACCTTGCTTTGCCTTATTTGTTTTGCAATAGGAGATATTAACCTTGAGTTTTGTTTTTTTTCTTTCTTTTGCCCCTTAAAGTGCTGAGAGCTCAATTTGGAAGAGCCATGGAAGAGTCTTCCCAACCTGCTAAACCTCTGGAGATGAACCCTCACTCTCGCTTTATTATTGGTTCTGTGTCAGAGGATAACTCAGAAGATGAGACAAGCTCCTTGGTGAAACTTGACCTGCTAGAGGAGAAAGAGAGGTCTCTGTCCCCTGTTTCTGTCTGCTCGGATTCACTTTCAGACCTGGGACTTCCTAGTGCTCAAGATGGCCTAGCAAACCATATGAGGTATGGATCAATATCTCAGCTTCAGTCTCTTACTCTATCAATTCCCAAGAAAGTCCAAAGCTACTCTTTGCAAGCTGCATACTAATAAATCTCACCTTTGTATCCCGGTTCTGGGTTTGGCCTCAAAAGTTTTTGCTGTGATTTTTGGATGTTTTTTGTTTTGGACAGAGAAAATTCTGATTAAAGAAATGGTTGGTAATGGTGAAGTAAAACAAAGCTTAATGCAGTAGCTAGTGCTTGCAGCTCAGGGAGATGTTGGCCTCATAGCTGGGAGAAGGACTGTTTTATTTGTCCTTTATGTTGGTGGTACCATTGTCACTTCATGGAGACAACCTCTGAAAACATACACAGACTCTGGGCTGGGACCAGAGGATGATAGTGGGCCATAGTTGAGAATTGTTCTGGTCAAGCTGATGGATATGGTCAGCCAGCTGGCGATAGAAAACCTTACACAAATGTAAAGGGGATTGCTTTTCCCCTGGCTGTCAGTTGGAATGATTAGGCAGCTAAAAAAAGGTAAATTTGAAGTGGCAAAAGCTCTAGTCTCGTAACTGTATACGTTTGAGGAACAGAAGAAGCTGTATGAGGACATAATCACTAGTGTGAAACAGACAACAGGAGAGCAAGAAAATCAGGCAGTGTCTGTGTGCAACTTCGAGGACACTGCCTGGCATGAGAGAGCTATAATGCAATAGATGTGCAACCTTGAGCACCTCTGTTGTAATTTGCTTACTTTGGCATTCTGTTTTGAGGGTACTTGACTTTTAGTTAAATTGGAGGGAAATGCCAATTCAAATAAATAAAAAAAAAAAGTTACAGCATTAGGCTGTTTTTCTAAGATAAGGTTAGATGAATTGAAATGGTTTTCCAGGATGGTAGTCTCTTTCATCAAAAGATTTCCAAATAATGTTTGCAGATGGAGAAACTGAGACAAAGACAAGGTAAACCACTTGCCTGCAGTCACGGTGTGACAGTGAATTAATGGAACACTGGCATTCTTGCTTACAGCTTTCTTTTGATAATCACAAAGGTGCAACTCTTTCTGGAGTGTCAAAGACAAATTGAGTGAGGAGTTCTGTGCAGTACTGTTCAAACAAGTTGCAGATCTGAAGGAGAATGTCTTCTCGAGGAGTTGCCAAAAATCTTTCCATTTTCTGGTTAGCTCTGCTGTACCACACAGGAAGGTTTGGTTAGCTAACCACAAAAACAGCCTGTAGTTGGGGTGAGTGACTGCTGCAGAGAAGTCCTTCTCAGGGAGCAATTATCTCTAAATTAGAGAACTGAGTCAGATACAGAAGCGTTGTGAGTGCACCTGAGTGATCCGTTACCTCTTCACAGAGCGTGGCAGGCAGTGCACCTATTGCTCTGATGGCTGGAGAAAAGAGATTACTTCTTGCAGTGCAGGAGGCCTGGAAGGGCAAGGTTGGTTGTCAGCTATGAGGTTGTTCTTCCCTCTCATGCTCCAGATCACTGAAGTTTAGACATTTTGTTGCTTTGTGGAGGTTATCTGTGAGACTGTGTATCCTGTCCTGTAACACTGAGTGCTGGTGCCTGTGCCTTCTGTGCAGCGGCTGTCCCAGCACTTGATCTCCCAAGCAAAGTTTCACCACTGGAAGGAGCGCCCTGTCAGTATGAAAATGACATTGCTAATTAGAAATGTTCTTCCTTGGTCATTAGCTCTCATGGGCTGTTATTTTATAGCAAAGAAATTCATTCAAATAAAAAGCAACATCACGTTGTCACTTCATGCAGCATGGGTGGGTGCTTCACTGTGCTGTTTGGCGTTTGCTCCGTACCTGAAACCTTGCAGGCCTTTTTCTGAGCTGGGAAGTGCTGCTGGGGTCTGGTTGTGGTGCCTGGCCAATAGGTCCTGGCCCAGCTGTGGGCAGGCTGAGTGCCAGCTCGTGTTTCTTCATCTGAGCATGCGGAGCGTGTGTGGCTGTGCCGCTCCATCCATCGCCTTATTGATCTGGGTAAGTGTTTATGCTGTTGCTAAAGCTGGTCTTGCTGGGACAGGCTCTACAATACAGGCTTCACGCCACTAGATATCTGTGCAGGCCTTTGATTGAGCTAGCTGACTGCTAGAGATGGGATTGAGAAAGCCATGATCTGATAATGAACTTCAAATCAGTGTCTGTTACACCAGTGTTTAACGAAAGTGTGGGTTGGAAGAGTAGCTGTGCACATGAATGTTCTGTTTCTTTCCTTTCTTTTAGTTTTATTTTATTTAAAGACTATCAGTGATAAAACTTGTGTAAATTTCTTCTTTGCTCAGTTAATTATGACAATGAACATCCTTAAAAAAAGTGGCTGCATACAGCTAATGCCAACAAAATTTGCTCTTTGCTGCATTTTGCACCTCCAGGTGATAAAACTGGATGTACTGCTTTTCCTTTTTGTTTCTGGGTGTAATTGTGTTGTGTTGGAGTTCGGTGCTCCAGCTGAGGGCAGCAGTCCCATGGACACAGTGCTTTGTGCTGTGCAGGGCTGTCAGTTGTGTTCCTGAGGTGTCAGTGGGAGATAAAGTAACTTCTCTGTGAATGCCACGTGGAGGGGGGTATGTTGAGTCAGTTTGTTTTGTTTAATAAATTGTTCTTGACTGATGCTATATTTAATTCCTAGTTTTAAAGATAGCATCCAGTATCAAATTCTTGTTTAAAATAGAATAAATCCTGCATGCCTTCTGGTATTTGTCCATCAGGGCTCTGGTTTCATAAGCAATGAAACGGGTGTAGGAAATCACCTGGCAATCCACTTGCAACAACTGAAAGCCACATTTTTAGAGGTATCCCAGCTCGTAGCTGTGGTACGGCACCCACAGAGATGCTGGCCTTTGTGCCGAGCGTTAATTGGGCTTCTTGGTGAACAGTCTCAATAAGATGTTTGCTAAAATGTTTTCCTTTGCACGTGATCAGTTGGAATCCCTCCCAAAACAAAGGGCTTCCCTCCATCCCTTTGTTAGCATAAGTGTCACCGTGTGATGCTGAATCTCCAGGGTAGAGAATAACTTGGATCTCTTGGCACCCTCTTGTAACTCTGTCTTTAAGACCAGACATATGGTGCTACATGGGTGCCTGCAGTCATAGGTGGGCCCTGTTGTGCTGCCTGTGTGAGGCAAAAACTGTCACTGATAAACTGCACAAAACTCTCCCACCCACCCCCTTGTTCTGGTTGGTACAAAACATGCATTCTTTCTTTCCTGCAGAGGAGATCTGTCCAAAACTTTGTGAAAGGACTTCAGATCTGCTCTCAGCTGCATAATTGTCTTCTACTGCATTTATCTTGGTGGTGGGGCTTTGTCTGGAGAGTGTTAGGCTGTTATTGCAGGAACACATGGAATTTCATGCTTCTCAGGGGTGTGAAAGTGAGGGTATTCGGGGGTTTTAGGAACTGGAGTATGGATTTTGATTGAAATGTGGTGCTAGGAATTGGGTGCCAGAGTTTCAGCAGGAAGGGTGTGATGGAGAAATGGGTTCTGAAAGAGAAGTTTGAAGGAGAGGAAAGGGGCTTGTGGCCACAGTACTCATCAATTCCTCTGTATTTTTTATAGAGGAATCCTAGCAGTGTACTGGTTTGGATTCTGTAGTTTTGGAACCAAATTTCCTGCTTTAGGCTGCATACCTGCCTTGATTACTGTTTAAAATTGCATCAGTGTGAATGTGAAGTTACCTCACCATTGTAATTTGTGCTGTATCCTTTGTTTGCTTTCTGAAATTCCTGGGCCCAGCCTTGTGTCAGGGCTGCAATGAGGCTCTTGGTTTTGGTTAATGTATCCAGGCACTGACTTCTGGCAATTTCTGCCTTCAAGCCAACAGTTCTGTCTCTTTAAGGCTGCAGGAAAGACTGTCTTTGAATAAGTCTGGATTGCTGCCTCCCAGCGTCCATTCCTCTGGCCATAGCCGCCCTTTGCTCTGGCTGCAGAGGTCTGCGTTGCTGGCTTACATGTGTGCTGGTTCCTTCCCTCTGCTTCTCTGTGGAACAGGCTGCAGGGCAGGCCTGGCACTAGGACAGGTTTTGTGGATGCTTCACAAAGTCCTGCCACCCGGACCGGATGCACACACGCATCGGCATGTCCATATTACAAAACAGGAATCCCTAACTGATAGGAGCTGCCTTCCTTCCACACCTTGTACGGGCCAAACATGGGGAAAAAAAAAATAAGAATAATTTTTTCTCAGGGTGTGCGTGTGTGTGTGTGTGTGTATGTCTGTGCTGCAGCCTCCTTACGGCTGCCTTGCACACACGCCAGCTCGTGCATCGCTGCCTTTGGAGCAGACTGCAGCGTCACCGGCGGCGCTGGGCATGCTGCAGTGCTGGGATCAGTGCAGGCTCCTGGCTGCAATGTGCGTCAGGTACGTGTGCAACCAGCGCGGGTTTTCTCAGAACAGCCGAGAAGCACCCAGGCTTCCCTTTTGTCTGCCTGCAGGCCGAGCCTCCAGGGAAGGGGGGTGCTTTCCACATGCCGTTTGCCAGCTGGGCTCTGAATAGTGCTGTGTAGGGAGTGGGCTTTGTGTGTGTGATGGTAAGTGTTGTATCACAGTGACACATCCTCGTGTGGCGTGGTTCTGTTGGGATGCTGCGGCCGATCGTCTCCATTGATGCTGTAGCAGAAGCACAATGAGTGCTTTTAACCCGGCTGAAGCTGTTCTCTAACATGAGGCTGTGTGTAGCTGTAAGATTTGTTTCCTTGCAGCTACAGTGGTTGAAAGCTATTAGGGTTGGGAGCTATGGGTAGGCTTTTTTGGAGCGTGGGCAAATATTTGGGAAAGACATTTCACCAAAACTGAAAAATAAATTCCAATTACGTTGAATAACTGTAAATCTTAAAGACAGGATCAAAAACTGAGGAAATTTAATATCATGCAAGAATTTTATTTAGAAAGAGATGGAACGTACCATTTTCTATATGCAGTATGTGTCCAGTGAAGTCACCGAATACGTGGTGGGCTTTACATTTCTAGGAGAGAAAGCGATGCAGATTTTATCAAGCTGAGTGTTATTTCTTAAGTCTCTGCCCTTGTGATGGCTGCCTGGGAACTGGTGGGTTGATGGGAGCCTCCCAGCAGGGCTGGGGGAGCAGGAGCTTGCACTGCTCAGGGAAGTGGGTGTCCAGATGGGGTTGTGCTTACAGGAGGAGTGGGGACCGTGCTGAACTGAAGGGCTGTTGGGATGGACTTGGTGCTGGAAGGTACCTCGAGACACAGGGCTTTTTCTTATGTGCTTCTGTCTTAAAATGAATTAAATAAGGAATTTCTGCCACTCTTGGGTGGTCTGAACGTTTCTTCAAAGAGGGAGTAAGCTGGCACTTGAGAGAGGCTTTCAGTAACTAGGCAGATGTGTAATGCACTCAAACACCACCTCTGCTTTTTATCTGGGAATTAATAAAGTGTCAAGCTGGAAGGGATCCCAGGAGTCATCTGGGCTGTGTGTTTGCCCCAGGGTCTGGTCATCTGGATGCTGAGCTGGTCCTGATCAGGGACTGCGTGACCCTGCTGCGAAACCTTGTTCCCACAAGCAGCCTGTGCAGTCCTTCTGCCCACTGCTGGCATTTGCAATACTGTTTGAAAGGTTTGCTAATGTGTTTTCTGTTATAATTTAAGCTCATTACTTCTCGTTCTCAGGCATCTTGTCCTCTTTTCCTGTATTTAAAGACTGTTACTGGGCATCCTCACCAGGCCCATCCAGTGCTGGCAGCCCCTTCACTTCCTGGGCTGTGTTCATCAGATCCACAGTCATTTTCATCTGCTTTTCTCTGGATGCTTTACATCTTTTTTTAGGGACTGTGCCCCAGACTGTTCCCCGTGCAGAGGAGAGCAGGGCCATCTTATCGTGCCTTCCATCTGACACTCCTCTTGGCTTACTCCAGCACAATCAGTGTTATACAACGGCACGATGCTGATGCAAGTCCCCTCTGACCTGCAGGGCTGGGGCTCCTCTTCTGCAGCCATCCACGTGGGGGAGGGTTGTGTGGCTGCATGTCGTTGTCAGGAGCTTAAATCCTTGACCTGCCTGGCTCTGGGCTTTTTGTTCGGTTATTCATTTTTCTCTCACTATCACCTGTCTGCTGCCTGGCTTGGGTTTATTTCCCTGTGACGTTCTTCACCACCACCACAGCATGTCGCTGTCCTGCTTTGCCCTCCTGCTGACAATGCCTGCAGGAATTGGATCTGCACGGAGTTGTTTGCCTGTGCTTTATCAGACACGTGGTGCTTGTTGTCGGTCACTGCTCACACTGCCTGGCTATTCTTAGGTCCCTGCTTCCCACAGTGACCTCACCTTGCTGCTCAGGGCTCAGCATTGCCTGTCTTCATAATGTGTCTGTTTTCACTGGGTATTTGCTCTTTTTTTTTTTTTCTTTACTTATTATTATTATTATTATTATTATTGAGTGATTCCTTCCTGGATAATTGCATAGCTTTTGCTCAGACTCTTGGATAGTGCGTGCCTCAAATAAGGGCTGTGCTGCCTGGCTGTGCCCTATGCTAGGGCGGACCTCAATGTCATGAAATTTCAAGTGTCATCCAGTTGCTGTGTCGGTTCCAATCCAAATCTGCAGTTTGTTCCTGCATGTGCTTAGTGCTGAGGAAACATCCATCCTCTCTGCAGGGCTGTTACAGGCTCCACAGGACCACAGCACCTTTGTTTTGGGGGTGTTCATTCCTGTAGCGCTTGGAGCAAGCTCGTCTCTCTTTAATGGGTGGAGAAACTGAGATGCTGAAATCCTGGCTGACCCATCCCAGCTTCATGCTGGCGTCTGTGTGCTCTGCTGCCCGGATCACTGCTGGGCTCTGCGTGCCTGCATGGAGGTGCTTTCCTTGTCACCTCCCCACCCTCTCTGCACACCTGGTACAAAATTCCGCTTGCTGAATGAATTCTCTAGCTGATGGCCACTGCAGCCGGCCTGTAACAGCTGCCTCCGTGGTAGCAGGAGCTGTGCTGGCTGCTGGGGGCTCGGGGCAGGCAGGAAGCCAGCTGTCCTCGTCTCGCGGGGCTCCGGCACACGGCACAGAGCTGTGCAAAGCTCCTTACATAACTGGGGGCTCCTCTGTCTCTGATCAGCTGCTTTCCCCCTGCGCGGCAGGGAGGCTGCTTCACTCGCTGTGTGTGCTGCGTCACAGGAAGAAAGAGTGACACAGGGCTGGTAGAAGGCAGGGGACAAAGGTTAAAAGACTGAAGCAATCCGGGAAGTGCTGCTGCCTCAAGGAGAACCATACGAGCACGGGAGGCTCTTCGCTGCTCTGCGCTGCTGCGTTTTGAGCTGCAGTATTGGAAAAACCAAAATAGCAGCAGTTGCAATCTGTTAATTCCTTCACAGACAGCATGGAGGAGCCTGCAGATCAGAGTCAGGAAATGATCTATCACATGCTGCAGAGGTAAGAGTTTCAGCTATGATTGTCTCCTCAGAGCAGCACCTGTCTTGGACTGAGGCAGTTGGGCACTCTGTGCTGGAAATTCAAACTGATATTTTTCCGTGTCAGTTTTATCCCTCTGAAGCCATCCTGAATTACCGTGAGGTATTTGTGAGTGCAGTCTGTAAGAAAGGCACTGGACTGCATTTTAGGTGGGGAATCTGTTTATAAAGCATGACATCCTGCACAACCATTAACCTCTATAAACTGAAGGACTGATGAGCTTTTTGGAAGCTCCTACCTGAGAAAGCACTGCACATGTGACCTGGAGAACAGCAGAGATGACTGTTACCAATTTGCCTTTTGTTCTGTCTTGTTTAGGGCTCAGTATTCTTCCTTCATTGCTGCCCAGCTTCTCCTTCGCATTATGTTGCAAAAAGAAGAAAATCTTTCCTGCTTTGGCTGTGATGGGCAGCCTGTGATTGCTAGTGAATAAAACTCGATGTTCTTGGTATACTTCCCATCACAGAGTAAAATGAACTATACTTGTTTATAAACAAATGTTTGCAATTGATTCTGAATAATGGAAAATCTGGTTATCTTGTCATTTTCACTGTAGCAGTATCTTCTTCCTTTGTCTGGTAATTTGAACTTGGTCCATGGTCCGCATTCATCCATGTTCACAGCTTCTGACCCCAAAATTTTGGTCTCTCTTTGGTTGAGGCCACTTGCGATAAGCCTTCAGTGAACAAACCTGTCTCATTTATTTCTTGGGCCGTACTCCTTCCTTGCCAAGCCTTAGATTCTGATCTTTTAAAGACAAATTTAGCAGAAGTTGAATCTTGCCTACACTTCTCCTCTCTTTCTTGCCTGTTGGCCCCCATCCTCAAGTTTGCAGGCAGTGATTATCACAGCGCAGTCCATGAACTTGCTGACAGCAGCCCCATTAGGTACAGTGACACCGCCTATCACGGGATTGCAGCTTGCTGGAAGAAGGGAAAGTGTTCCTGGGAAGTACCTCTATACGCTCAGCGTGATCTCCTGCCCTTCTCTGGATATCAGCTGTTGCCTCTGAGACAGGTTGCTGAACTGGGCATACTTTGATCTGACACGCACGGACACTTGTAGTTCCCAGCATGTCACTGGGAGACAGGCTTGTTTGTCTTCTTTCTTTCTTAGCACGTGTTAACACCACACTGTTGCTCTCCCCTCTGTTACCTTTCATTTCTACATCCTTGGCTTCAGGGGTTGCTCCAGTGTCTCTGTTGCTGTGCTTAGAACAGGTTTTCACTTCCCAGTTAAGCTCCAGATTTGCTTTCTTTACAAGCCTGTAACTTGGAGCTCTCTACCGCCTTGACTGTTGGCCGTGGGAATATCCCGTGTGTGAGGTAAGGATTGATGAGCTGAAATTCAGCTCCAAAGCGAAGTGCCATCGCTGTGCTGCTTTTATTCTGAACGTCCTGATAGGGTCAGGGCTGTGCAGCAGTAGGCTGGGATGTGTGCAGCCAGGCCTGTCCCTGCCGTTGTCTGCCCTTCATGCCCTCCCCAGCAGGTCAGTCACTTCCTGCCCATCTCTTCCCATCTCCCTGTGGAGTTGCTCATCCTCAGCTGATGAAGGCAGAGGATCCTGAGCCAACTCCAACTGAACACGCAGCCCCCAGGACCTGGCCTTGCTGCTGGGCACATCCTTGGGAAATGGTTGAAGTAACCAGGCACAGGGGTGGCGGGGCTCCTTGTTTTCACCTGAAGTGTATTTGCTGTGGTTCTCTAATAGGATTTCCTCATGGAATCTGACTTAGTACATTGTTTTACCAAAGCTAGAAAACTTTCTCATTTGTCAGCTCTCCTGGAAGACTGAGGAGCAGCATGGAGTGTGGTTTAACACAGTTGTTCTGTGATGGGCAGTGATGTGCAGTGAACACATTTTCACCTGTTCATGTACTGGCATGACTCGAATTCCCTCAGATGGGCTGACACGTGCTGAGATATAACTGCAGTGAATTGCAAAACGAGATCATGCTTGTAAAAGCTGCAAACTGGAAGTGGGGAATGTTCTGCTTGTCTTGGGGAATGTGGTCAAGGGGACAGGTAGAAATTACCATCATACTCTGCTCTATTTGTGTTCATCTACACTGCAGTGTTGCTTTTTCTCTGTGCCCCTCAAATCCCCTTAGGCCCAGCATGTCTGGTTTGCACCTCGTCAAGCAAGGCCGGGACAGGAAGAAAGTTGATGTGCAGCGGGATTTCACTGTGGCTTCTCCTGCAGAATTTGTTACTCGTTTTGGAGGGAACAGAGTTATTGAAAAGGTAAATTGCTGAAGTTCTGGGCTTTGGTGTATTGTATTCTTGATTCCTTCTCTAGAGCTACAACTTCTCTTTATTCAATACTGCATATTGCAGATATCAAAATACTGAAATTCCTGAACTTACAAGTTGTATTTCTGCCTGTAGCCATTCTGTTTTAACTTTAAATGTGATAAATTGGTTTAGTTTAATGTGACAGAAAAAAAATCTGAATGAACCTCTGCTGATAGAGGAGGACTTACAGACAGATACAACAAATGCAGACTGGGCAAAGCACTGAGAATTTTATTTCAAAATACATAAACACATAATGATGAGATCTATTCAGGTAACAAAAGTTTTAGCAACTCGTTATGTCAGTTCTGAAGTGCCCCTCTGTTCTTTAATCCCAACAGAGCATAAGACATTAATATCTTCATGGTCAAGCAAGAGCTGATTCCTTATTGAGCTGAAAGCCAGCTAAGGAAACTGAACAACAAAAAAGGGGTTGAAAGAATCTGTGGAGAAAATGACTATTTTCATTATTGCTCAACGTTTCGTGCTATTTAGACTTCTGTCTCATCCCTGCATCTCACATGTGTAGGTCCTGATAGCCAACAATGGGATTGCAGCAGTGAAGTGCATGAGGTCGATCCGGCGCTGGTCCTATGAGATGTTCCGAAACGAGCGGGCAATCAGATTTGTTGTCATGGTGACTCCTGAGGACCTGAAAGCAAATGCAGGTGAGTGAAGGTGCACAGACCTCTGTGCCCAGGGGGATGCGAGAGGCTGAATGGACATCCACTGCATCGTGCACCGTTCTGACCAGGAGCGGATTGAGAGCTTTGAGTAATTTTTGGAATGAACTTTTATTAAGTGCTTTAGAGACATTAAATTTAATTTTTCCTGTAGGTATGTTATTGTGTAGGAAATACTGTTGGATAACTGTAATTAATTCTAGGATTGATGAGAAAGCAGTGTGGATACAGATGTTCAGATTTGCTTATGCTGTAGGTTTGGGAAGTTTTAGACCTAAGTACCATTTACCAGATCTGTGATCTAAATGTGACCTTTGTTGCATTTGCAGAGTACATTAAAATGGCAGATCACTACGTGCCAGTTCCAGGAGGACCAAACAACAACAACTATGCAAATGTGGAACTCATTCTTGATATTGCTAAACGCATTCCAGTGCAGGTGAGAAATGCCACAGTTTTCAAATCATGAGGTAGCACTAAGGAATCCCCTCTCCTCAAATAATGAATTGTATCTGGGAGAAAAGACAGGTTAAAGAAATGGAACTGACAAACCTATATTGGCACTAAGGACAGTGAATATTAGAATGTAGTCAGTTTCCCAGTGTGAATATCTGCAGGAGACAGAAGTTTCCCTTCACCCTTTCACTTCCCTACACTTAACTGCTCTTCAGCAGCTTCCTTCCGCAGCCTTCTTGGTCTTGTCTGCAAGATACAATCAATATTCAGACCCTTTAAATTAAGACTGAGCGTACTTCAGGAGCTTGGATGTTATGAGGCTGTTTTCCGTTCAGTGGAGAAAAGAAAGATGTAGAAGCATCTGCATGCTTTGTATTTCTGCTCATGTGCCTGTTTTGTTATAACAAAGAGTGAATTATGTTGTGTTCTTCTGCAGGCTGTATGGGCTGGCTGGGGCCATGCCTCTGAGAACCCAAAACTACCAGAACTTCTCCACAAAAACGGGATTGCTTTCATGGGTGAGCAGATGTACTTCTGACCAGATATCTGATGAGGTCTAGTCCTTATTTTAACATGGGTGGGTTTAATGAGAGAAAATCTGAGCCTGAAAGAGAGCCATGAGGTACTGTTTGCAAGTGCAAGATTGATGATCTGTTCTTTACAGTAGTCAGAGCAACAAAATATGCTGTCTAGCAGTGTAGTCTGTTTCCAGAAATTGAGGCTAATGAAACTGGATTGGAATAGACCCCAAGTTATGATAGAAGGCTTAGCTTAGTAAGGCCCTGGGTCTGGAAGATGAGAGAGTTACAGATTCTTTTCCATGAGGACTGTAGTAAGGGCTGTAAGCCTTTCTTTATCTCCTATTAAAAATAGAGGTGAGCAAAGTTAACTTCAGAAATTATCCATTTTTAGACATGCTGGACTTTTATGATAATATTTCCCACTGTTTCCTCTAAATGATGGTACAGCTCTTTGCAGATGGGAATGGGTAAGGTTTGGACATGTGCTGGGAAGTAATTGTTGTATGGGAGAAGTGGCAAGTTCTCCAGAATGTCTTTGAGTATTTTGAGATAAAAAATCAAAGAACATAGTGTTAAAGCAGAGGATATTTCTGCTGTCAGTTTAAAGAGAATGTTCATAGTTAAATTTTATTGAAAGAGTTTTTTGTAGACACTACATGAAGTTTGTGGTCTGTTAGCAGTGTAGTTAATTGAGTCCTGGAGGTGTTTGATGCAGTAAGTGTCATTTCCATATCTGAATATAGGGTAAGGTTTTGGACATGGTCTTTGTTTAAAACTAAAATTAGACTTGTGATAAAAGTCATGGTGTGAACATAACCTTTATCTTTGGGGCAGTTGTATTGTGTTCTGACTTCTAGCAGATCTGTAATAACTTGAGCCATAGCTGTGGAAATACTCTGAACCTTTGAAAAGGGGTGAATTTTAAATCTGCATTTTAATTCCAGCTTAAATCTCTTGCCAGTCATGTGCTACAGTCCCATATAAGCCATGTTTCTAGGAAAATCAGGGCACTGAATTACTGCTATTCCAATAGCATGTGATGTGCACACCTAATACCAGTCACCAGCACCTGCCATCTCTCTGAGAGCTGGCCCAGCTTGAAGAGAAACATGTGGACAGATAGTGGTGCCTGCAAGCTGAGTGTTCCAAGGATTCTGTAACAAGCTGTTGTGATTTGTCTGTGGTTGCATTGCTGTAATTACAATTGCCTTTTCTTCTTTCTTGGTCAAAGGTGCTCCAGTCTGCTTTTAAATTCCTGGCTGACACTGTTAATGCTTTTGGGTTTGATTTGGAAATATTGATTTATACCAGCTGGGTTGTGGCCTGCATCAGGCTTGCTGAGAGCTTTTATTTATTCCATGTGCATGGGATCCAAATCTAACCTGTAGGCTGTAGGCATTTCCCTAGAATTTGATACCACTTGTGACTCTTCCATTGCTTTTGCTCTTTGCAGGTCCACCAAGCCAAGCAATGTGGGCTTTAGGAGATAAAATTGCATCGTCAATAGTGGCTCAGACTGCTGGCATCCCAACTCTTCCTTGGAGTGGCAGTGGTAAGAAGGAAATTTCCCAGCGTATAAAGACCATTTTAATCTGTTTTTCTTCAACATGTCTAATCTTTAATAAGTATCTCTGCATAAAAAGATGATTGCATGTGTTTCATCTATTAATGGATTCAAACTTGTATTATCCAAGGCTTAGACAAAGTGACTGTGGTATTTATGGATATGTCAGGCAAAATGTACAAGTTCCTTACCATGCTGTTAGTCTGGCAGTGCAGCTGTAGTATCTGGTATTTCTGCAGCCTTTACTTCTCTAGCATCTATCCAGTAATTCTGGAGCACACAGCCAATACTCTGCTTCTGTGAAAGCTCTGTACACTTTCAAAGACGGTAAATAACTGCCTGTTTCTCAGAATTACACAGGGTAAGTGGAGGACATAACTGTTGCTAGTTTCCCAATTAAAAATCTTTGCTCCCCAGACAACAGTAATAATCTGTTCGTGCTCAGCATCCTCTCTTTTGTACGTGCTTCTAGGCTGGTTCCTCAAGGAACTGTTACAGCCCTTTGTTTCATCAGTGTCTGATGTATGAATTCTCACTGAGCCTTGCAGCAGAACAAGCTAGAAGGCTGTGCTTCTGTTTCAGGTCTTCGAGTAGATTGGCAAGAGAACGATCTTCAGAAGCGTATCCTGAATGTTCCTCAGGAACTGTATGAAAAAGGCTATGTGAAAGATGCAGACGACGGCCTGCGGGTAGGTGGCTGGGAGTTCAGAGCTGTTTGGAGCCTGCTGCATGCATACCTGGAGATTGTCTAGAGGATTAATTTATTTCTAATGGGAGAACAGACTAGGACTGGGCTGAGTCTTGGAAATTTGAAAGCAGCCTTTCACAAACTATCTTTGGGCCCAGCATGCAGAAATAGTGAGATTAGGAGAAAGAAATAAGAGCACTGCAGTGGCAGCAACTGTTCCCTTGCTTTTCTAACTACAGGAATCCTGCTGAAATAGCATATGTGGTTTCTGTCTTGTTCATGTCTAGTTTGCTAAACAGAGTCAAAAGATGTGGGGACTTGGACATGAATCATTCATAAATAAAGATCTTTTCAACTTATTTCTGCTAACTTGTTATACTTACCCATGTTTTTCCCATCTTGATCAGGCTGCTGAGGAAGTTGGCTACCCTGTCATGATCAAGGCCTCTGAAGGAGGAGGAGGGAAAGGAATTAGGAAAGTTAATAATGCAGATGACTTCCCCAACCTATTTAGACAGGTAACTTTTCCATTGATTTATGCTGTCTTGTTCTAGATGTTCAGGTTGGGTGATTCTGAGAGCACTATATGGGAGATGTTCAGGAAATGAAGAAGCCACTATTGTAAGCCTTGTTTACCTTATGGATTATTTAGGAAAGCTGAGGTGGTTTTAACCTCATTGTAATTAAACGTAAGTGAGCACGGGTTGTTCTTAGTCATAAATGACCTGGGTAAATATTCAGGATACTTGTTACTCAAAAAATGAACTGGGGATGATTGTGATGAAGGCGGTTGCTTACAAAAAAATGATTTGTCCATTTATATGGTGTCTCTGCTATAGGTTCAGGCTGAAGTCCCAGGCTCTCCGATCTTTGTAATGAGGCTAGCCAAGCAGTCCCGCCACTTGGAGGTGCAGATCCTGGCAGACCAGTATGGCAATGCCATCTCTCTCTTTGGTCGGGATTGCTCTGTGCAACGCAGGCACCAGAAGATTATTGAAGAAGCACCTGCTTCTATAGCAACTTCAGTGGTGTTTGAGCACATGGAACAGGTGAGAGTGGTTCTGCAAGTTCTCTTTTTCATGTGAGACTCCAGGAGGAGCCAGGATTTTTTTATTTGTCACTGGCAATAATTGTGTATTGTTCAGTATGTAAAAAGAGCAGTGTAAGGTAATGTGTTGTGAACTGCTTTGTGTGCAACCACTGACATTTCCAAAACTGAGCCCACCATTTTTGAGCTCCACTGAAAACGCCTGCATCTCAAAAATGAGGGAGATGTGTTTTAAATGTGTAATGTCACATTAAAAGCGAGCAGGAGTTATATGAATTTTCTATTGCTGGCTGTTAAAAATACTCACTTCAACTCTGCCTTCTGTGAAACGAAATAACCTGGGAACCAAAACAAAGTCATGTGCTTTGCTTTGAGCAGCTTTTGGGCATGTTAGAAGATGTTGGATGTTTTAGAATGCCATCAAAAAAATTGTGAAGTGGGTAGGGTGGGTGAACAAGCCATAGAAGATTGAATGTGGGGCGTGGAAAACAAATACTCTTCTTTCCTGCATCCTAGTGTGCAGTGAAGCTTGCAAAAATGGTGGGGTATGTGAGTGCGGGCACTGTGGAATACCTCTACAGCCAGGATGGCAGCTTCTACTTTCTGGAGTTGAATCCCCGTCTTCAAGTGGAGCACCCCTGCACCGAGATGGTAGCTGATGTTAATCTTCCTGCAGCACAGCTCCAGGTGAGTCAGGACCCAATTCCTCCACTTCTGGAGGATTTCAGAAGTACTCAAATTGTGGTATGGTGTAGAAAGCTGAGCGTGAAAAACCTGTTCTGCTGAAGCCCTAGTGAAATTAAGGGGCCGGACTCTTGCTGAATCACTGCCAGGTTTCTGTGTTAAAACTGGATCACATACTAATGTTCAGCAGATGACTAGATCTTAATACTTAGAGAGGAAAGAGTGTAAGGCAACTATCAGCACTACCAAATATGGCCTATATCCTCACGTGCTGATAGGTGATATTTGACTCCTCCACTTCTCTTTCCAAGCCAAAACCATCTAATTAATAGAGCAACTTTGTTACTTTCCCAGTTTAGGATTTATCTTCTGTGGCTGGAGCAAATTTTTTTGTTCCAAAATATTCTTCCCCTTCTGTTCTGATTTGGAAAGCAAAGAGAAGTAATTTTCTAGTTGTTCCTCCTGAAATTCTTAGAGAAACCTTTAGTTATAAAAAAATGTGAAGCAGTAGAATAATAAAATATAAAGGTAAGAAAACTGGTTTAAGTAAAGTTGTGTGTAAAAACTCTGTCTTAACAGGCTTTAGACATGAGTAGTTCAACTTCAAGCCTTGAAATTATTTTGTCAAATGAATTGGCTTCTGAGGCTAGCAGAGCAATCAAATGCTGTGCCAGTTTGGAGCAGTGTGTTGCCCAGTCCACTGCCTCCAAGAGATAACAGTATTCCCAGAGTTTCTAATGACAAAGGGAGTGAAAAAAGAACAGACGATTGGTTTTTTCATCTTTCAGCAAGTTCAGCAGTTGTTTGAAGTTCAGGAAAGTGACTTTGGTCTTTTTAATTTTGATTAGCAGTTCTTGACTTCCAGGGAAATTGTTTCCACCTCTCCAAGTCCCTCACTAATAGCAGATGCTGCTTCTTCTTGGCTGAGGTCCCTGCTCTTCACGTCTTTCTACAAAATAGGATTTGTGCCTAATAATTAGGCACTGGAATAGATGTGGCAAAGCAACCAAGAATTTGTCTTGATTTATTACTTTTTCAAGGGGAAATCATCACAGTGAGTGACATTTATGGCTTATGTGAACCAGTAGGTTTTTTTGTTGTTGACCAGAACAGCTGGGAATTCAGTCCATAAGGCTCCAATCAGCAGCCAGTTCTGTAGGTTACTCTCTCTGCGTTTTATAGTTACAGAATTCCTCAAAGGTTCCATACAACTGGTTAGGGGTCATCTGGCACCTCAGTATATTTTTATCAGGCTTAATTCAGGCCCATCCTTGGCTGACCTAGCAGCAACCAACCTTCTTTGAAGTCTTTCAGTCAACGGAAAATATTTGTTGAAAGTCATAAGGTGGATGTTACACTGAGTTCAGCTGTCTTGAGAAATATAAATGTAACAAGACATGTCAGAGGAGAGGGCTCACTTAGGAAAATAGGAATTTGTGTTTGTTGTATGAGAACTGCAACATTAGCTTCTGCAGAGAATTGGTGGCATTAATTCCTTAAAGAAAAGAGATGCTCTGTGAAGATAGCAACTTGCTTATTAGTGGCAAATTCTGTTTTTCCTCCTTAGATTGCCATGGGGATTCCACTCCACCGGATCAAGGATATCCGAGTGATGTACGGTGTTTCCCCATGGGGAGATGGATCTATTGATTTTGAGAATTCAGCCCATGTCCCCTGTCCACGTGGCCATGTTATTGCTGCACGTATCACCAGTGAGAATCCTGATGAGGTGAGTGTTTTAAATTCTGTAGTTTCTTATCATGCTATGATAACCTCAGCAAGTTCAATCTCTGCTGCTGTTCCTGGAAGGTTTTGGCAGCACCTTTAAAAGATTCTTCCCTTATCTTACTTAGCTGATGCTTCTGTACACTGTGGTTAGGCGCTAGAAGAACGTGGACTGACGCAGGTGCACTGTACAGTATCTTCACCTCCATCTCCTCAACTTCCCAGAGTATAACAGATTTTATCTGTGCCTTAGGATTATAAATCCTCTTTATTGTGAGTTGGTTGTCCCCCAGGCACACTGTCATTATTAGCTGCCAAGGTGCTACTGACCTCACAAAAGCTAAGGTCTTCAGTTCCCTGTATTTTCTGAACTACAGCAGTTCCTGTGTTTCTGTGTTCTATAGACCTTAGCTGTTGCTTTGGCAGTGAGAAGGCTCAGCTTAGCTGTGTATGCATCATGTTGCAGAGCAAAATGGTGCCCTTTACAATTCTGATTATTTCTCTAATTCTGGTTTATTTACTTTTTCTTTAGGATGTATAGCAATGTCTGTCTGTTTTTACAGGGATTTAAGCCCAGTTCTGGTACAGTCCAGGAACTGAATTTCCGCAGCAATAAGAATGTCTGGGGCTATTTCAGTGTTGCTGCTGCAGGAGGGCTTCATGAATTTGCTGATTCTCAGTTTGGTCACTGCTTCTCTTGGGGAGAGAATCGTGAAGAAGCCATCTCGTAAGTAGTCAGAAAAGTGGTAGAACCTTGGAAGTTGCTTATTTTGTTCCTCTTCAGAGTGCCATGGATGAAACTAGAACTCTTTAGTTCTGGTATTTTTAGTTCTGGTTTCCTTCTCACTTTCCACATCATGGTCAGGCTCCTGATCCTGTCTTGCTTTGCTACTCCACTGCATTGCACCTTCGTTTCTCACTTTTTGATTATTTAGTTTATTTCCCTTCTGTTTCATTCCTGCCTTCTATGCCTGCTGCTGGGGTAAGATACCATTGTGTTGAAGTCCTTCTTTGAAAGCATCCAGGTGAAAGGCTTTTAAAAAGAAGAGCATTGGTAACTTGGCTCTGCCAATGCCCTATAAATAACTCTTCTTATGTGATGTGGGACATAAAAAGCTTATCATAAGACAGGACTGTTTGACCTGCCATCCATGCTATTTTTCATCCAGAGTATTTCCTCTCTTCCATTCTGTGTGGGATGGTGACTGTCTGTTATTGTTATGTGTACTTTTTGCATGCAGTAGGTGGTTAGATGTTGATAACAATGGAACTCCTGATCTCATAACTGGTGCTGGCTGAGTTTCTCTGGTTCACACTGACAGCAGACTGAAAAAAAATCAATATTCTTTCATTCCCAAGCATACCATATAGGATCTTGCTTGAGTGCACGTGTTCTTCTGCTGTTACCCTCAGACTAGTATTTTCCAGGCAACTCACGGGGAACTGTTTAGAGTTACTGGGTTGCACTGTATGGGATAGATAATGTTTTCTCTTCTCTTTCAGAAACATGGTGGTGGCTTTGAAGGAGCTGTCCATCCGAGGGGATTTCCGAACCACTGTTGAATACTTGATAAAACTGTTGGAAACAGAAAGCTTCCAGCAGAACCGCATTGACACTGGCTGGTTGGATCGGCTTATTGCTGAGAAAGTGCAGGTGCAGCTGTTTGCTTTCCAGGACTGGTTTGAAGACAGGGAGAGGAAGAGGGCAGAGTGGGGTGGAGAGAGAAAAGGAGAGAGTAGGAAAGCTTGGTTTTGGTTACAAGAAGATGAGTATTTAGGAGTACTTAATTTCCACTTAACACGTTGCAAATAAAGATTTTCACTAGGCTTGATTCTTATTTGTATCAAAATTCCAGGTCACCATCTTGTCAGGGAAAAGTGGTCTTAGAGTTGGCCGTTACGGCATCTTAATGTACATGAGAATTAAGGCTAGTATTTTACTATACTGCTTGGAATGGATGCTGATGGAAAGGCTTGAATATTGAGTCTCAGGATTTGATTCAGAAAGAACAAAGATCAAGTGGTTTTCTTTATAGAGGTGATTGCTTTTATACAGTATTTGGATATACGCTACAGCAGCTTAATTTTAGTGGAAGATTGGCCTTAAGCCAAAAATAGACCTGAGACCATTGGTTCTACAAGTGGATGTCTCGAACAGAGTGATGCTAAAGATGTAACTGTATTATGTACCCTTTCTTTCTAGGCTGAAAGGCCTGACACCATGCTAGGAGTGGTATGTGGAGCTCTTCATGTGGCTGACGTGAGCTTTCGAAACAGCGTCTCAAACTTCCTGCACTCTCTAGAAAGGTAAAATTGCTTGTCTGGTAGATAGATAGTAATTATTTTTAACTTGAAGTTTTGTTCAAATACAGTACAATCCAGAAATGCATGGAGCTTGTTATTTGTTGTCTGTTCTCTAATCCCAAGAAGCTGTTTATCTACTGGCCTAAGAAAACCGGCCTGCTCTGTCTCTGTTAGTGTTTTTTAAATCCTTGCATGCTTCTTTGAATCTTCTTGGGTCCCTGATAGTCATTTGGTGGTTTCTGGAAGGCAAATTTTGCTTTGTACTTCTCTTTCAAGGGGCCAAGTCCTGCCTGCTCATACCTTGCTAAACACTGTGGATGTGGAACTCATCTATGAAGGACGGAAATACGTGTTGAAGGTATGTTGTACAGCATAGGAAACTATCCTCATGTCATGTTAGCTGCAACTGTCTGTGTGCTGCTCTGGCTTAATCTTTGTAATTGCTAGAGTTAAATCTGCATAAAATGTATATGCTCTGCTTTAGTGGGGTTAGGAAATCATGATCAAGATGATCACTTGTCACACATTTTTATTGTATTATCTCTGTGCATCTCTGTAAACATGTTAATTTTTCAGAATCAAGAGCCCCCTCTGCATGTGCTGAGAATATTAGACCAGAATTTTATGGGAGACCCACTGCCTTTTGGTTATCTGAAACTTTCAGTTGATGTTTCTGAATATTTAGATTCACTGTGTTGGGTGTTTCGCTCTGGTTTCATCAGCATGGTAGAATTCGTAGCAATTTTTCTCTTTAGCATTGCTTTTTCTTTGCTATGAGCAAGAACAAACAAACAAAAAAACCCAAATTAGCATTAGGAATACTGTTTAAAGGTTGCAAAAGCAAGCATACAAGTTCTTTTCATGTTTTTTTTTCCAAGATGAGAACAAACATCTCTGTTCCACTTCTTTATTTGCCACCGTTGCAACGCTTGGAAATCTGTGTGTTTTGTGGCAACCAAAGCACTGTCAGTGCTGTGTCTCTCTCATGTGCTACCTCCTGTTCTTGTGGATCTGCAGGTGACCCGACAGTCTCCCAATTCCTACGTGGTCATCATGAACAGCTCTTGTGTGGAAGTTGATGTGCACCGACTGAGCGACGGAGGGCTGCTCCTATCTTATGATGGTAGCAGCTATACCACCTACATGAAAGAAGAAGTGGACAGGTAACAACTTGTAAAGATTATTGTATGACTTCTGTGTGTCAGTCCAGATTAGGTGTACTTCTAACCTTATGCTTCCTGATGAACAGCTGGAAATGGAACTCTCTCCTAGGAAGGGATTCCTAGATGTGTTATTATTGATGAGTTTGAAGGGGGAAGTTGCCTTCATCTGAAACGTGTGTCTGAGATGCATTCAGACCTTTCCTGTAAAAGTGCACCAACAGGGAGTCCATGTTCTCCTGCCCTTTTGGATTACATGTGGTCACCTGTAAGAGACCCAGTACTCTGACCATCCAGTTAGCTGAATTGATTTGCAGGTTGTTTAGGTGGGCTCAGATTCCCATTTCCCAAAGCTTCATGGTTTGTGATTTAAAACATTTGCTGGCTCAGATTCTTGTACACTGGATTAACTTTTCGAAAGGAGACTGGAGTGGCACTGGTATCCTTTCAGAGTGCTTTTATATATGCTGTCAGAACACAGTGATACCATAAGCTAACCACAATACATGAATGGTGAACTTGTGTTCAAGTGCAGACTGAAATCTCTACAATGCCTGCCAGGAGTTGCAGTGAGGTGAATGCCAGTCTTTTTCTCGGGTGACAATGATAGGGCTTGAGTCAACAGCCTCAAGTTGTGCTAAGGAAGGTTTAGATTGGATACCAGAAAGAATTTATTCACAGGAGAGGTAGTTAGGTGTTGTAACGGACTGCCCAGGGAAGTGGTAGCATTCTGCTACCAGGGAGCATTTAAGAGATGTGGACATGGTGTGTAGGGCTGTGATTTAGCAGTGGACTTGTCTTGTTAGGTGGATGGTTGGACTTGACGGTGTTGAAGGTCTTCTGCAACCTAAATGGTTCAGTGACTCTGTTCTACCTGTTATTTCCTAGGTATCGCATCACTATAGGTAACAAGACTTGTGTGTTTGAAAAGGAAAATGATCCTTCCATTCTGCGCTCACCTTCGGCTGGGAAGCTTATCCAGTATGTGGTGGAGGATGGGGGACACGTGTTTGCAGGCCAGTGCTTTGCAGAAATAGAGGTAAAAGTCTCAACTGTTGCTGAAGCTGTCTGGGCAGAAGCTGGGGAGAAAAAAAAGTTGAATGTTCTTGAACTGGAGAATGAGAATGAGCAATAATTCATAGTATTTCCATTCTAGATTTTCTGTGTTTTAATTTGGACTAATTCAGGAATCAGCAAACGGAATAATTTGGTGGGGGATAATTTTTAACAGCTGAAATCTGAGCATTAATGACTTCATTAAGTGATAAATAAAATTTCTCAGCAGTGAGACCACAGTTACTATCTTGCCATGGTGCCAAAGCAGAGTGTACCATGTCTTCTAACTACAGGGAAGAAGGCTTTCCTTTTGTAAACCACTACTTAGCTCTTAAGGAGAGTCAGAAGAGGTATATGCTAGTATTAAGTAACAAGTTAAGACTTCTCTGATCACCTGATCATTTATCAGATTGATCAGACAAATTAAGCTGAAAATAAGTGTCACTCCTGCCTTCTCCCTTGGAAGTTACTTAATGTTTAGAGAGGAGGAGGATGAAGAACAATTGCTGCATCATAGTGAGGAAAGCATGAAAGGTCGAGTAGGAGTGCATGGCTCTGAACAGATATGAAAGAGGGGAGGGTGTGTTGGCAGAGGGGCAATTAAACTAGTTGGGAAGATTGTGTAGGAGAAGAATATCAAGCCAGAGATCTTGATACTTTCATGTAAATGCTTTTATGCTGCAACAGAGCCATGTCTAAAGAGGCACCACCTACTCAATTCCTGTTTTCCCAGTTGTGCTATATGCTACAGCAGTAGTAAAACTAGACTGCCTTTCCCTAAACCTAACGCTTCTGCTGTAAAGGCAAGAACTTCTGTGGTTAAACTATGGGAGCATCTCTATTTGTGAATAGCAGACTGAGATTTGTGACCTCTAGAAGGTAATCCTAATTTCCTCTGCTAAGCACAAGTATCTTGCTCTAGCTTTTGAGAGTGGCTCTTGCATTTCAAACCATGAGAGTGCAGCAGCTGCAATAATCTGTATCTATTTTGTTCCCTGTGTTGGATGTAGGACCTTCTTAAATACCCATTGGTCCAAGCAGCTTCCTGCTGCACTGGTTTGCGTCCTGGTAATTTGTTCTACTATTTACTTAAGTTGGTAATCCATTCACAATGTATGTGCTTTTAGACTTTTGAGAAGGACTGAATGCAAAAGGTGCTCATGCAGGTTAGTTTGTCTGTGGTAGGCTATTGGCTGCTAGTTCACAAAACTAGAACCATTTGTGGACTATTGAAGCTGAGTGTGTAACCTGTTTTCCTTGCTACAGGTGATGAAAATGGTGATGACACTAACAGCAGGAGAATCAGGCTGCATCCATTATGTCAAACGCCCTGGGGCAGTGTTGGATCCAGGCTGTGTGATTGCCAAACTCCAGCTGGATGATCCCAGCAGGGTTCAGCAGGTGAGAAGTAGCAGGAAGCACAGATTTTTGTGGTGTTTTAAATAGGGGAGCAATGCTGAGAGTGCTACAAGATGGTCCAGTGGGCTGAACGAGTTTTAGATTTGTGCACTGTATCGGAAACATCACCATAGTCTTTGTCTCGTGCTGACTTGGACTCAGATTATCATGTGGTCCTCTGATTCAGGCAAAGCTTTTGTACCATCCTTGTTCTATTCTTACCTCAAAGCTATTGTGGGTACATGGCTGTATGTGATACTGGAGATTGGCCAGATCTTTCTATCTGCTTTGTTTGTCTGCATGCTTATTTTACTTCTTTTTTTATCACTTCTTTTTTTTTTATCTTTTTTTACTTCTTTTTGGCCCTCTTCTGGAGGACAGGAATAGATATCCCAACTCCAAGACTGTCAGGCCCTGCAAATTGTAGCAAATCTGGATCTTTTTTAAGGTGAAAGGCAAACATGCATTTCTTTAGGCCTTGTAGCCTGGGATGTAGCTGATGGCAGTGGAAAAGAATTTATTGTTCCTTTAGCAATAGCTAGTAGAAAACTGAGAAGTTGCCATGCAGGGGGTGGAAAGTAATTGTCAGCATCGAACTGTTGGCTTTTCCTCTACTTTTTGTTGAGATATAAATGAACTGGAATGTATTTTAGAGAGAGGCTGGAGGCTTTTTTTGTGGGTGAACACAACCTGGAATTGCTGCAGATCCAGCTCATAACTTCTCTCTCTCTCACCACGAGCATTTTCCACTTCGGGAATTCTTCCAGGTTAATTCTGAGCCTCCAGCTGAGGATAACTGGAGGTTACTACCATGGCTAATGCCATATTGGAGGATTAGTGACATTGTGGTATTTGCTGTGTTTCCAGGCTGAACTGCACACAGGCACCTTGCCACAGATCCAGAGCACAGCACTTCGAGGCGAGAAACTCCATCGCATCTTCCATTATGTCCTGGATAACCTGGTCAACGTGATGAATGGGTACTGCCTGCCAGAGCCCTACTTTAGCAGCAAGGTACTAGTTACTTCTTAGCTCAGAGAGAGAGAGAGCAAATGTGCCAACTTTCCAGCCTTATGTTCAACAGAAAGAACATCACAGCCAGAGGACCAAGACTCAGGGCAGTACTGTGCTGATAGTGCTGGCTGGCCTTGGTTTTCTTTATGTTTCCTGATAGCCAGTCTCAGCGGAGAGTAACATGGAAGAGTTCCATCTGTGGTACCCAAAAAGAGTGTAAGTTAGGAATTGAGCTTGAGCTTTACTGCTTGTGCCTGCAGCCTTATAAGCGTGAGCTACCTGCATAGCCAGCTGTGGTAGAAGTCTGCAGGAAGGGGGAATGAAGGTGAATCTGAGCAAGCTATTGGTGAAAGGTGGCACTGCAGCTACTCCAGTTCTCATGTTTAGTCCATGTACTAGCTGTGTGATGCAGCAGTACTAGAGACCTCACTGAACAGCCTTTCTGTTTCTCCCTTCTTGCAGCTTATTTTTTTCCTTATGTTTGCCTGTATGCTGACTTGTCTCTAGGTGAAGGGCTGGGTTGAGCGACTAATGAAGACACTGAGAGATCCATCTTTGCCTCTGCTGGAACTTCAGGACATCATGACCAGTGTTTCTGGACGGATCCCACCCAATGTGGAGAAGTCCATCAAGAAGGAGATGGCCCAGTATGCCAGCAACATCACATCAGTGCTTTGCCAGTTTCCCAGCCAGCAGGTGATCAACCACACTTGTATAAAGGGATCAAAATTGGCTTGTGTGGACATAAAGAGAGAAAATTCCTTTAAGTTAACTGGAGATCAGATGGACTTAAAAATGCATTTGAACACAAAATCTTTGTGATCAAAGATACTAATTGTATCACTTAAGCTTATTTGCTGCCTTTTCCTGTGCTGAAGGCTATGTGTTCTCTGCTCACTATAGCTTTGAACAGGCTAGCTTAAGAATTAGGAAGAGTATAATCATATTGATGGCCTTGTGGGCATTTATTTACTTGCTTTTTGGCTGGTACATATGCTACACTGCAATCTGTAGTGTCAACATAACCGTAAAAAGGAATGATTGCAACTAAGAAGGCCTGATGAAGGAGATGTTGAAAGATTTCCTTAGTATACAGTGTCATGCTTCAATTTTTGTATTGTCGTTAGGTCGTTATCTTCCTATGTTTGAGGCTCTGGCCTTTTCTGGAGTCTGGTAAAGCTCTGGTCTGGTTTGTCTGGAAGTTGTTACTAGTTGTCAACCAGATTGTCTCACCTTTGTTCAGGAGCTGTCATGAGACTTACTCTATTTCAGATTGCCAATATCTTGGATAGCCATGCAGCCACCTTGAACCGCAAATCAGAGCGTGAGGTCTTTTTCATGAACACTCAGAGTATTGTGCAGCTTGTACAGAGGTAAGCTGTTTTCAGGGGTGATCCCTAATTATTCCATTTCCCTTCTTCTTCCTCTTTTTTTTTCCCCAGTTTTCCTTTTCTATTTGAAAGTCCTGAGCCTGTTTGTCTTAAATCAGCCTTGAGCACTGGGTTTGATCTGTTTGCTTCCACAGGTACCGGAGTGGTATTCGGGGTCACATGAAAGCAGTGGTAATGGATTTGCTCCGTCAGTATCTGAAGGTGGAGACTCAGTTTCAGCATGGTGAGTCTTTATGCATATCAAGTGTTTGATTTCTGGAAAACCCATATTTGATTCAGGAGCTCTACGTTTACCCTCCTCAAGAAAGAAGAGTCCATGAGGCTGAGTCACTTGGATTTTCTTTCCAAGGTCTCTCAGATTCCTTTTTTTTTTTTTTTTTTTTTGTAGAGGAAAATACCTGCTGTGAAATAACACAGAGGTTTTTTCAGCTTTCGTAAGAGCAAACTTCAAACCCTCAGCTTGACTCACAATTGAAATAAATGTATTGCATTACTGTGTCCAGGCACAAGGTGGCAATGATGCACTGGCTGTTTTTGAGGTTCTAGTTCTCACAGGTGGTTAGATTCAGTTAGATTCTGTTATACTTTTTTGTCCTGCCACTATTCCTACAGTAATGTTACTGCAGATTCACTTCCACTTCAATTTGCTGGTGGTAGAGGATGGTGCAAGTCTTTTTTCTATTTTTTTCTATTTTTATTCTGTTCTTTTGAATGAAAGAGGCAGCTCATCATTCCCCTCTTCGTACTACTCACAGGGGAGGTATTTGGTTTTTGGGCTGTTTTAATAAGAATGGGATGCTTTAAATTTTCTGTTGAGGGCAGATGTGTTGGGGGGAATGCTTTCATCCCAGAACTGGTTGTGTAGATTATGCAAAACGTGAAAAATATATGTGGGGAAAAAAAAAAAAAGGCACATCTAGTCACATGTGTTCCATGTCAGGCTGAAAAAATGTGCATTTCTGATTGCAGGTCACTATGACAAGTGTGTCTTTGCCCTTCGGGAAGAGAATAAAAGCGACATGAATGCTGTATTGAACTACATCTTCTCACATGCTCAGGTCACCAAGAAGAACCTGCTTGTCACAATGCTCATTGTAAGTTGTCTGTTTATTCTCTAGGAATTTGCTTCTCCTTGTAATTGTATGTTTGATGCTTTGAAAGGTACTGAATTGACAGCTCTCATCCTTAAAGATGCTAACTTTCTAGCTTCTGAAGCAGCAGCAGCAGCAATGTGGAATTTCTTCAAGTTCTCTTCTTGGTGAATGGCATTAGCCTGTATTGACATTCTAGAGTGGATTCACTTTCTCTTGATGAGCCATGTTTGATCTCATAGGCTTAGCAGTTGCTGTCTTACCTTCTTCCTGGCTATAGGCTCAGAGTGTCTCATGGCAGATAGGCTGCAGTGTGTTCTGACCAGCTGCACTCTGGGCTGTGTGGTAGGATCTGGCTGGGACTCATCATCTCAGCACAAAGCTGGTCACTCCAGGCAAGGTGTCTGACCCTTGGGATGCTATGTGTGGCTGTCCAGGGGGCTTGGGAAGGGATGGTGAGTCTCCTGACACAGATTCTAGCTTAGAAACACACAGAAATCGTTATGCTGGAATCTACCATCAACATCCGTGTTCTTCTGGCTTGCTTGCTGGCTTGTGAAAATCTCCATTCTTATTAACCTCCGCTGCTCTCTAATGGGTAACTCCCCCATTAAATTACATTTGCAGGAAAAATAAATAGAAAGCCAGCAATTGAGTCCTGCTTCTCTTGTTCTGTTTCCTGAAAAGCCTCAGAAAATCCTTCCTCCACATACGGCTTTGAAGCAGAGTGAATATCCACATTCCTCAGGGCAGGATGAATTTAGCTACAATGTGATTTCCAGCACAGACTAGAGTTAGGTATACTGCTTGTTAAGAGGCTAATTACAATACTACCCCCCCCCCCCCAGCTCCCCTCCTTCTCTTTTTTCCTTTTTAAAATAATAAAACATGGTCTGTTACAGCGAAAAGTATTTCCAAAGTAGCCATCCACAAAATTACTCTCAAAAGCATAGAAAGGGTCATAATTGTCCTAGTCAGAGGCTGGGTTTCTTAAATTCTAATTTGTAAGATATAAGGAGCCTGGCATTCTTTCTTTCTGGCTTTCCTTTTTCCCTTTTTTTTCCTTTCCTTTTTGGTGTGTGGTGTGATTGTAAGTAACGCTTGCCTTAAGAATCTCATTATTTGAACACGGAGCCATATTTCCTCTGAGAATTCTGGAGTAGCTTTGAGCCGGGGCTGTTCATTTCTCAAGTAATCATGCTGGCGTGATGGAGAGAGAAAATGGCAGCTGTTCGCAGCTCAGGCCTTCAATTTTCTTCAGAGTCCAGTCACTCAAGTGTGTAATTACACGGGGGTGCCGGGGAGGCGTTAAGGCCTTGTCAGAGAGCTGGTTTGAGGCTTTGCTCACTGCCTTTGCCAATCAGTGCAGGCAAAAGCCAGCTACCTGCTTTATTTTGTTGTTGTCATCCTGATTATTTCGTGCTAAAATAGGACTGGAACTTTTTGTCTAGATGTTCACCTCCATGCAAGCCATGTCTTAGAGATGGAGTCTTGCTGTGTCTTCGGGTTGGTAGGCAGAATGTCTGTCTGAGGGAGCGAGGAGCATGCTGGGAGCCAGGAAGAGCAGAAGATGAAAAACCACCTGAGCTTTCCTTTGTCTTTTGTGCGTGCTCTCAGCACTGTCAGATATTTCATCTCAGGTAAAGGCCAACATCCCAGTTTGAAACATACTGGGGAGACCTTCCTGCACACGGCAGGGGAACGGCTGAGTACTTCTGTGTGGCCTCTGCTGGGCCCTCACGTGGACAACGTGCTGGGGACTGCTCACATCAGGTGGGTGTCAGAGGCTTAAGAAGGGCAGCATACCTCTGAGCACCGAGTTGAGCACCGAGAAAGGAACTGCTCTGCTGAATTACAGTTCACTCTGTTAACTGATAGACCATCATTCGTCTCCCCCCTGCCTCACATCACTCCTCATGTCTGAGGGCCCCCTGGCACATCTGGTAATGGTGGTGGAGGCTGTGGTGTTCTTTGGGTTGCCAGGCCATTTGTGTGCGATGGTGAAGCTGTCCTCCAAGGGCAGATGTCATGTCAGAACACCTTGATGTTATGTTGCTGTTATTGATGTATCCCTAGGAATCCATTATTAACAAGAGGCTCTGAGGATGGTTTTAGTAATGGTGTTATGCTGCCATCATTCACCTTTTTAGCTAGCAGGCGTTTAAGGCAGGATGGGAACTACTCCATCTTTCATGTATTTGATGAAATATAGCGCGATTTGAAGCTGTGTATTCATTTTATGTACTTAACTGACTGCTGTATGCACATCCTAGCTGTAACTGGGCCACAGCACCTGTGTTTGATGCTGTGCTGCTGTCCTGAGTCCTGCTGGGTTTTTCTTGCTTTGTAGCAGCACCCAGGCATCCAGACCTCAAGTACAACGAAGGCAGCTCTGAAATTATTCACTGTGTTTTCACACATTGGTCTGTAGTGATGAGATTCACAGAACTTTCTTTGGAAATAGTCACTGGAGTGTTTGCTGGCCCTGGATGACAACCTAATGAGTTGCTCACTTAGGTTTTGTTTTTTAGTATGATTTTAGTTTTGATCTTTGTCCCTGAGAGGTGTATGGCATCCTGGGGATGGCATCATGCTGGCGTGGGTTCAGAACTGTGTGAGGAGGCTGGCTAGTTAGCTGTAGCACTGCACCTGGCATAAGCTGTTATTTATTATTTAGTTTGTGGAACTTGTATTATTTTGATTGTTGATTGTTTGGGGTTTTTTTTTTTTTTTTTTTTGCTTTGATAAACCTGCCAGGGAAATTAACCTGCAGCACAAAGGTTTTTCTTTTTATATATTTTTTAATATATATGAACTTACTGGAAGTCTAATACTTCAACCTTTGATGGCACAGAATTATAGAATAATTCAGACAGAAACCTCTGTGGGCCAGCATCAGAGAACATATGTGTAGACATGTTGTGTTTAAACCCCTTGGTGGGAGGAAGGAGGATGGTTTTCTCTGTTTCTGATGTTTTCAGCTCTCTCTGTTTGCAGGACCAGCTCTGTGGCCGTGACCCCACCCTGACAGATGAGCTGATCAATATTCTGACGGAGCTGACCCAGCTCAGCAAGACAACCAATGCCAAAGTGGCTCTGCGGGCACGGCAGGTGAGGAGCACTCCTGCAGCTGGGCTCAGCCACCAATCACATCAGTGGGTTCCCAGCCACTGCATTTTAAGTTAGGACCACATTCCTCTGCCGTTTATCCAAAAGTGTTGTCTGACCTAAAAAGGAATGACTAATTTGTGTGTTAAGGGAAGACAAAATCCATGGTCAGCATGGTTTCTTCTGGCTTTGTAGCCTGTGCACCTGCCAAGCACAGGCTGCCTGGAACAGGCAGCAAACAGCTGGGGTGTGTTGTCTGGGTTCAGCAGCTGCCCTACAACTGGGAATCAGTTTGGGCAGAGAACAGTGAGAGAAATTTACATGAGAATCAGATGTTCCTGAGGAATTATTATTATTGCAATGAATATGTTGGTGCTTTCTTTTTTTTTAATATAGTTTTTTTTTCTAGCTTTTGAGTTACTCTTGTTAATCTAATTTGAAAATAATTGGAAAAACTTTTGTCATTTCCAAGAGTGCAAGATAGTAATTTGGATGTCAGACATCCACCTGTATATTATTGTGAGCTTCCTCATTAGCAGTGAGTGTGTAGCCAGGGAGGAGTGAGAGGGCATAATCACTTCACACCAGGGCTGACCCCACAGTCTGATCACTTCTCTCACTCCACAGTCCCCATCTCCATTCTAAAAGTCTTCAGCAGGGAAGCTGACACTATGGGGATCTCTCCTTTTATTTCAGTGCTTGACTGTGGAAAATGAATGTGGTGTTTGAAGCTGCTCAGTGACCTTATGTTTCCTTCAGGATTGTGTTTGTGTCCTTGAACCATTCAGAGTTATTGAACCTCTCAGCAGCATGCTGGGGATAGTGCTGCAGTCCTTGTGGATGTCTTTATGTTGCTCCTTCACTTCATTTTCCCCTGCAAGCTGCTTCCCCTTCCCATCTCCGTACCCTTCATGTTGGGCATTTAATACTTGGCACCAGCAGCTCTGCCTGCTCTGCTCAGAAGCTGTGCGAGGCGGTCTCCAGCGCTGGCCTCCCCACAGCTGCTGCCTGCCAGATCTGCTTTCCAATTAACAGCCGGTCAGGCAATCCCCAGGACTAACAGCTCTGCAGTGCTAAATCACATGCACTGATGGAACTTGATTGAAGCCGTTCCTTTTCTCCATGGGGAATTGCCAATAATACAAACCGAGCGGATACACAAATGAGGCTGGGGAGGGGAGGGAGTTTGCAGCATCACCCAGGTGCCACCGAATTCACAGGAGAAGCCTTTTCTTGGATGGAGCAGAATATTGCTGCCTTGGAGTTACGGCCTCCTGCCTGTGGCCCAGCAGAGCTCCCTTCACCCACACACTTTGTGTTTGCTGTTTGCCAGGTTCTCATTGCTTCCCATTTGCCGTCCTATGAGCTGCGTCACAACCAGGTGGAGTCCATCTTCCTGTCTGCCATTGACATGTACGGACACCAGTTCTGCATTGAGAACCTGCAGGTATCTGCCAAACTCTTCTTGGTTCCCCGCTTCCTCCTCACTGAGCTTAAGGTTGCTGCTTTAAAAGTCATGTGTGATCCCAAGTTCCTCGTGGCTTTAAATTGTATCAGCCTGGTTCCTAACTTCCCCCTCTGTTTGTTTCCATTACTACGCTGACACCATGTAATATGAAAACATCCTAGTCCTTGTGGAATGGCAGAAAAAGCAAGCTAATAGAACTAGTCAGCCAACCAACCAGGATTGGTTTTTGGTTTTTTTTTTTGGAGGGGGTAGTTTGGTTTTCTTTGTTTGTTTGTTTTGTTTTGTTTTTGCCTACTTGTGTTTGCAAGACAGGGAGTTCTATTTTAACTTCTTCATGTAATCTCTTCTAGAAACTCATTTTGTCAGAGACATCCATCTTTGATGTGCTACCCAACTTTTTCTACCACAGTAACCAGGTGGTGAGAATGGCAGCTTTAGAGGTAAGTTTTTGCCCACTGAAAAAACAAGTACTTATAATTTTAATTTAATTTTTAATCAGTGTTACCCTGCAGGGTTGGGAGCTGTAGGTTGTGTGAGATTTGGCGTGGTTGGAGTCCGGCATTTAACAGCATTAACATTCATAGTTGGCTGAGGTTTCAGATGCAAATTATCTTCTCTGCTTGAAGAAGACTTGCATGGTGAAGGGATGGAAGGTGAAGCTGCTGTCAGAGGATGCGGTCGGCCCACCTTATAACTTGTGGTTGCTTGCCACCAGAGTGGCCTTTCTCAAATAACGATATTTTAATCCTTCTAGTTGAATTAGATTTTCATCTTTATATTCATCTGAAGGTAACTGTATTGTCTCTAATATTTTTATGATCTCTCTTGATCCGTCCTTTGTCTTTTTCCTCTTTGTGCCTCCTTAGCACATCAGCTGATGGGTTTCTCTTTAACCAGGTGTACGTTCGAAGGGCGTACATTGCCTACGAGCTGAACAGCGTCCAGCACCGCCAGCTGAAGGACAACACCTGCGTGGTGGAGTTCCAGTTCATGCTGCCCACCTCCCACCCAAACAGGTCAGATCATGCATTCAGGTGCCTTTGGAGTCAGGGATTGGTGAGGGACTTGCTATCTTGGCACAGAAATCTCACAGTGGAACTTGCAGAGAAATGGATAATCCCAGTGCATCAAATAAGCACAAATTTCTTAGGCTAAAACCCTACATTACCCAGTTCTTTCTACTAAATTATTTAAATCCTCAAGAGCTATGGGCACTAGTTCTAGCAATTTGGATTCATTTAAATATGTTGCAGTTTTCATGTGTTCCAATTTTTAGTTCAGCATGTGTAGTAACTTTCCTCTACAAAATTGGTTCTGGCAGAATCTTGAGCTTTCTGAAACATGCAGGTCCAGACAGAAAGAACAATTGGGATCTTTCCTCTTGCTGCATTGCTCCCTCGCCAGCTTTTTGTAATTCTTTGTGGTTGGTTGTGCTTTTAAACCTGGCTTTATCAATGTGGTTATACCTCTTATAGAATTAGGACGAGCAGCCTTTGTTTGTTTGAGGAGATGTGGATGCAAATGTAGATCTGTTTTATTCAGAAGCATTAGAGTTTTGAAATACCTTGGTTTTTAGTCAGTATTTTTCAGAATGTATTTCTCATGATGACTGAATCTTAAAGTTGCAACCAAAAGCACCAACCATACCCTGCTCTGCCCTATGGAGGGGTCACGTCTTCTAGAGTGTGCAGAGGGTATTTTAGGAAAAGCTTTGATTTTTTTCAGAACTTCTTCAGCATCTGTCAGGCCAGTTGATCGCAGAGGTCTTCCTCATGAGGGTGCTTTGGGCAGAATGTGGTTTTGTCCCAGGCTGTGGAGCATGCTGGAGCTGAGGTGCAGTGATGCTCCATGGCCGCCGGGTGCCACTGTTGATCTGTGCTGGGTGGCTGTGTGGTACAGGTGCTATTTTCCTCCTTTGTTTCCAAGCATCTTTTTCCTTATTTTATTTTTGGTAGAGCTGGGCAATGGGGTCCAGTCTCGCTTCATTGAGAATCCATCAGTACATTTTATGAAATGGTTTTCAGAATCTGGTTTGCTAGAAATGAATGGCTGTCCTCAACAAGCAGCACAAAACATTCATGATACAAATGGGACATGCATTTGGTCTCATCTGTTTCCTACATTTCTAGAATGTTTGTAAATAATTGCATACTATTTTTGGTACTTCTTAACAATACTCCTCCCCTGCAGTCCCTCATTCTCTATTTCCTCTCTTTGCTAGCCTGTCACCTCTGCTTGTGGGTTGTGTAGGCTGCCCACGCTGACCACTGTGCTGGTACTGTGTGCTAGCATAGTTGGACAAGGTCAGCTGGGAGATGAGAACTGTTACCTGCCTGGGGAACAGCTTCTTTGTCCTGAAATCTCCTCTCCCCTCTATTGTGAATTTGCTGGAGCAATGTTCTGAAGCTGTATGCTGCTTTTCAACAGTCAGCACTGCGGATGGTTGAGTGGAAATGCATTGCATTCCTTGTGCAGAGGCAAGCAGACTTTGGGGACAAATTCACTGCTGGCATAGGCAGGTTCTGTTCCTTCGAGTGCACCTCCATCTGTTGGTGCTGAATTTTGCTCCTGTTGCTTAATGCAGCTGTTTGCAGTGCATACTGCCTTGTGCAGCTATTGTGTGGCTGAAGTGCAACAGATAACAGCGTATGGATACCTGGGGAATTAAATTAGCACAGAATGTACAGATTTAAGCTACCCATAGAAGCAGGCCTTATGTTAATCCTGGGACACAGAGCAATGAAATCTCCAAACTCTCTACCATTGTCTTGCTTAAGTCTTTGTTGTTTCTGACTGTGTTCCGAGACCCTCATACGTTCTTCTCTATCTTTAGCATGGACAGATGGAATAAGGGACAAATCCCAAAGCCATTGTATCCCAGCTCAGTAAATGTCCCTGAGACTCTGCAGGGTTGGGTCCTGCTCAAGCAGAAATGGGTACTACAGGACCCAAAGACAGCATTCTTTTTTGAAGCTGTTTTTTGCAATGCAACACATTTTCTAACACGTGATCAGATAGTTGTAAACCCTGGTCCCTTTTTTGACTGATTTCTTTTACTGGAGAAAATATTTATGCAGAGAAAATTGCAAACTGGTAGGGCTATGGGATACTTAAATTTTTTGCCATTAGTACTTACCCCTGATACACCTTTACTTAATTGCCACTCAATCCCACCCGCTACTTCTGGTGGTCACAGGAGGCACTCAGACTTTGTATTTATGGCCACTGAATGATTGCCATCAGCTGCCCCCAGTAAAACTTTACATGGAAACAGGAAAGAAAAACTTAATTCTGAATATCAAAATCATGGAAATGCAACCCGCTCCTGGTGGGTTTTGTGGGCAGATTTAGGAATTATTTGTTTAAATTAATGGAAAACATCCTGTTGTAAGAATCCCCACTGATCTTAATTGCAAGGGTAAGGCGTAGGGAGAAAAACTTATAATTGAAACCATAGAGGGCTGTATAGATCAAGCCCAGCATTCCTCCTTGCCCAGTGCAAGCCAGACGAGGAGCACGGTGCAACCATCTGCTGCCTTTTGCAATAAATGGAGCCTCTGAGCCCTCTCCAAGTAGAGAGCATTGCAGTAATTGGATCTGGAGGAAGCAATCCAAGGGCACCTCCGGGATGCAGCAGGGTGCTGCAAGCACGTGCCTGTGTGCACAGCCCCTTGTGTTCGGATCACCTGCCTCTTTCTGTTGCCTCCAATCCCGGTGAGAAAAGCTGTGAGAATGAAATGAGCCCTGATCTGAGATGCTCTCTGCCTCCCTCTTGTTCAGTCTGCCCTGCTGAGATGGGAAGCTGGTGGGATATTGCCTGGTGTTTAGAGGTTTGGCTTCCTTTGTGAGAATGGCAAGCTGGGTGACAGACACTGAAAGGCTTTCTTAGGTGTTCAGCACACGAAACAGCGCTCACCTGTGCTTGGCTTAAAAATGTTCAAAGAAACATTGTGTGTCTGGTATAAGAGGAGAGAGAGGGAATTACAATGCTTTTTCAACAGTGCTTTTGTCCCATGTGCCACGCACGTGGCCTTGAAATGTCGTGGAGAATCTCAAACCAGGACGAGGTTGGGAGGTGGGAGCGATGGAAGGTTTTAGTGGCGCAGGTTTCCTCTGGATGCACTGCAAGCCACCAAGGACTTCAAGATTTGACAGTTGTCTTACTTAGCTTTAAAGCAAGTTTTACTTGGCAGTTCAAATGGGCTGCTAACTCTGATTGTATTTGGAGTTGAGAATGCACACAACTCAGCAAACGCGCATACAAGCAGATGCCTTAAGTTTGTCTGAATCCCTTCCTGGAACTGCCTTCTGTTGTCCTTGATGCTTCTGAGAGTGGAATTTGGGTCTAGTCATTGGTTGTCTTGTATTTCCAAGCGTTTCAGCATCAATGTCTCAACTATCTTGTGCCTGTTTTTGCCCAGTATCTCCTCTTTTTGTGCTTGTGGATGTTTGTTGGCACCTTCCTTGGACTCCGGTGTTGCTGATTTCAAAGCTTAAGAGTGATGCATGTTTCTTGGAGCTGTCTCTTGATGTTTTGTCATCTATGGAGTACTTTGGTTGTTCTTTTTGTCAGCCTCTTCCTTAGCTTACAGGTTGAAACCATTTTGAAAGCTGGAAGCCAAATTTTACATTGATGTTTCCAAACAGTGGTTTTTATAGAAGGATCAAGAGCCCAAACTGGCGTACATTTAGAGCAGAGCTTTAAGTACCTTCCCACTAGCCTGTCTCATCATTTTACAATGACACAGTCAGGAGATCTGAATTTCTAACAAAATGAACATCTTTCCTGTGGCCTGAAATAGCTGTTAGAACAGCCTCTTGTTTCAGCCATTGGATTCCTTGTGTAGAATGAGCTGCTCTGCCGTGGGCTGAGCGCACAGCCCAAAATGTGCCATCAGCAGCCTGAGGTCCCCTCTGTGCTGCAGGAGAGTGGCTGCTGCCGGGAGGGAGGGGGGAATGATTCCAGGACACCTGTAAATCCCCGCAGCCTTGTGCTGAGGGTTTGATGTTAATTAGACAGCAGGCAGCAGTAATGGGTTGCAGTTCCCTTGGCTTGGCTGTTTCAGAAAGGGCGAAATTTTCCAGCAGAGGAAAGAAGGGGCTGTTGAAGGGGCAGCAAACTGAATGGAACGATGATAATTTTATGCAAATTGGACTTCAGTAGCAGATTCAGCTTGGCTGAATCACAGAGGGAGCAGAAGAATAAGGAAAGAAAGAGGGAGAGGAAAAACCCAATCAAAATGTATGGTTTGAGGCATGTTTCACAGCCTTCTGTTTAGATTCTTCTACAGAAATGAAGAAACATAAGAGGAGTGCCACTGGTCACAGCCAGTGAAATTGCTCTTTCTCCTGTGTTACTGCTGTTAATAACTACAAGTGGGTTATTCAGCCAACCTCTGCTGATTCCGCTTTGCTGCCTGATTTCAAAAGCTTCGCCCCGCGCCGGCACCTCCATCACAGCTTGCTGCAACCCGCGGCGCTTCGCATGCACGGCCAGCGCTGCCGGGGGAGGGGGAAGGAATGGAAATTCACCCAGGAGGTGCAGAAAGGAGCTAGGGGGATTTTCCTTTGCTTGAGCAGGAGCGGTAATTGCGACACGAGGGCATGCGGTGCTGCTTGCATGGGGCTGGGGCACACTGCTGTGGGATCAGCCCTCCAGCTGGGGGGTACTTTGTGAAGGTCAGGGTGAGGGGTGGTGGGAGGGCTGCTGCTCGTGGCCAGCTGCATGGCAGCGGTGCTGTGCCAGAGCTGTGCTCCTGCTGGTTCCCCTGCAAGCTTTGCAGCCTTGTTCGTGGAGCTGTGGAGGTGTGATGCCTTTCTGTAACACCTTGCCCCAGGTGCTGCACACATCAGCCTGTTGGCTCTCAGTGTGGGATGGTGACAGTGACAGCTGAGCTGGGATGCAGGAGGGTTCCTGCAGCTGTGCCTGTGGTTATGGCACAGTCCTGCTGCTGTGCTCCGCTCCTTCGTGAGATCTGTTTTCCTGCTGTGATTCTTGCAAGAATCTCTCCACCTGCATTCCAAGTGATCTGGGAGTGGTTCCCAGAGCAGGGCAGCAGGGTGCTCTCTTTGAGGCAAAAATGAGTGTTTGTTGCACTGTTTGGTTGGCTTTCTTCTTTCAGTTTTCTAAAAGCATCCGAGGGAGCACTGCATGAGTGCACCAGGTGTAGGAGCTGCCTGTTCTCTCCAGGCTGTTCTTGCCATCTGAAGGAGATCACATGCAGCTTTCCCACCACTTAGCAAGACAGAAAAAAGGCACAAAACCCAGCATCCCCAGGTCCCTTTTAGCCTTAGCAGCAGGCTCTCAGCAAACTGTCTGTCCCTCAGGCTCCAAATGGAGTTATTTAATTTTGTTATTAAGCAGCAAATAGGTACGTCTTCAGCCCAGTTTTGTTTTCTGCCGTATGGCTTAAGGAAGTCAGGGGAACTTCCATGCCTCTGTCAGTAAAGCACTGAACATGAGCCTCACAGTGATTATGATTCTGATGTAACAAAATCTGTTTTTGAGCAGGGTGCATTGAGTGCATTGAGGGATGTGACCATGGAAACATTGTGGTCACTGCTCATCAGGACTTCATGTCCAGCAGCCCAGGGCTTGCCTGTAGCTAAGAGCATTAGGAAACTGTGGTTTGATCTTCCCCAGGTTTCTGTAGGGAGGGAAGGACAAATGGCCAGATATGTGCTCCCTGAAGCTTTACTTTCGACCTTTCCACGTTGCTAATCTCTGCTCAAGCCTCCTGGGCGCATGTGTGTTTTTCTGATTTAATCTTTGCTATTTTGAATGCCACACTGCAGCTATTTCTGCATCTTGCATGGAGCCATTTGCCACTTTGTGCTCCTGTGAATGGATGGGCAAAGTGTGAGCGCCTCAGGCTGCTGGGAAACTGTGCACCCTTTAGCTCACAGTCATTGCTGAGCTGTGGTTTGCAAGCAGAAATGCAGGGAGTTGTGGGCTGACGTTATGAAAGGAACCACTCCATTTTCCTGAAGTTGGTCTGAAGTTCTGCTTGTTCTTTTTGGTGTTCATGGCCTTGATGCTGCAAATGCCAAGCGTTCCGTGGTGTTTGTGTGCATTTGCTTTGTTCTTGCCCTGTGGGCTGCTGCTTACTGGGGAGGTTTGGCAATGAGGATTTGGCTTTTTTTCCTGAACTTGTTGCAGTTTCCCTATGGGATGCAGTCACTCTTTCGCATCTGTGCTGCTGTTTGCTCTTCTGTCAGGTGGGGCTGACTCCCACTGATCTCCATTGGTGTTTGCAGAGGGCTTGCAGCAGTGCCATAAGGTGCTGTAGAAATGCAGGGTGCCTTGCGAATGCAGCGTGTTTTCCTCATCTGTGTTATTTGCATGTCATGTGCATGGTCTGTGTTTACTCCCGTGGCAGTCGTGGCAAGCGAAGTCAGGTGGTGGGTGCCTCCTCAGGGTCAGTGAAATTGAATTCTGCCTAATTTCTGCTGGACAAATTTGGGTTCGGTCAATTGTAAAGGTGTTGCTGGTCTGCGGACCAGCCTGATGATAGTTTGTGATGATGGCTTTCACTAACCAATCTGTAACTAACTGTGGTTGTTTGATTACAGAGGGAACATCCCCACGCTAAACAGGTATGGTACTCATCTTTTAAAATTTGAACAGCAAGACTAGAAAGAAGTAGTCTAGTACTTAATGTTCTAACATGTTTTGTTGTAGTACCCTTCTCTTTGCTTCGGAAGCTCTCAAACATAACTCTTTTCCCTCCCTTTTCCTCTCCCTTTGTCTAAAACATGTTTTCAGCTTTCCACCACCCTTTTTAAAAGCAGCTTTGCATGCAGCAGTCTCCACAATTCGATCTGCTCGGTGACGCAGTGCGCCCGCAGTGCCATGCGCAGCTCCTGGTTGGGTCTCTCCTTTTGGAACAGGATCCCAGCTGCTTCCTCTGTGGGGTGTCACAGTGGAGCAGGGCTTTGCCTCGGGCTCATAGCACACCTGTTGCCTGTTTCTGGTTTCTTGCAACTAGCTTAGAATTTGTTGAGGCTGTCTTACCTCCCTCGTGCCATAGATGAATCTACATCTCAAACAGCTGACAGCATGTTTTGTTGTGTTCTGGATGCTAATTTTTCCTCCCGTGTCTCAGTTGAAAAGTATTTCTCGTTTTAAATAATACATGAAAAATGTCTGCTGTCTCTTTGTTTAGTTACTGTTCTGTGATATGTTTTGTATTGGTTGTAAGAAATGTACACCAAGGCATGTCCTGAAACATTTTTCTCTTTCAAAACATGAATACTTATTATTTATTACTGCTTACATGCCTATTTAGGGAAAATAGTAAAAACGGGCTCGAAAGTCTCATGGCTCTTAATCAGAGATAAATTACAGAAACATTGACTTTATGCACAGAGAGCTATTAATCAAACTGATGATAGCTTAGAGTGGCTATTGGTGTTCTTAGGGCCATGTCACAGTGGTTTTCTGTGGGGAAGGACAGAGGAGTGAACGAAGCAGCAGTGTGAGGAATGCCCATCCACACCACGTGTGAGCGTTGTGGGACATCAGGAGATGGACGTCACTGTGGTGCTGTGCTGATCAGTGCCCTTATTCCTGCCCTTACGGCACCACCTGGGGAGGACAGAACTTGACTTTGTTGATGCTTCCTAAGTCCCAGGGGGAGTGAAGGGAGGGTGAGCTGCCCTGAGCTGCAGGAGCCCATCCTGCAGGGGATGCAGCTGGTCTGTAGCGTGCAGAAATGAGGAGTGGTTTCCCCTTTACTCCAGAGAAGGCAAAACCCCGTTCTACTTGCTGGAGAGGGGATGTTTAGTTGATTGGAGGATTTGTGTTGACATGCAAGGAACTTCCTCTGCTAGTCTTGGCCATAACAACGTGGAGCTTTAACAGCAACAAAGGCAAATCAGAAAAATAAACACAGAAGAAACTGATGACAAAAGCTCACTGCCCAAATTAACACGAAAGCTCACTGCCCAAATGAACACCAGCAATTTCACAAGCAGTGTATGCTGCCACAGCTGTTGAACTATCTGAGAAGTCAGCGATACTTTAATGTGCACAGGATCATGCCTTCTCCACGAAACAACACTGACCTTTGCAGTGAGCAGTTCTGCCCTAAATAGAAATCCCTTACTTGGTGCCTTCCTCTGAGCTTGTGTAAATCTGTCCTGGTACCACTCACTGACATCAGGAATTGGCCCTGGATGAGTGCTGCACTCCTTGTACAGGCAGGAGCAGAAGAGGAGTGGCTGTTACTCCACCTGTAAAGTAAAGGACACATATGGGGGGAAAAATGTGTTCAGCTTTGCATAGTCATAGTTCACCTGTCACCTCACTTAACCTTAAGAAGTACTGGTTCTGAGGGTTTATAACATTGTTTCCTGACTCTGTGCCTTGGGAGGATGTCCAGGTAAGAGAATCAGTGGCAGCAGACACGTGCCACCATTGTAGGGCCCTAGGAAATGGCAGCACAGCAGCTCTGGTGTGCTGAGAACCCAGCAGTCCTGCAGGGTCACTCGGGATAAACAGCCCTGTGTTGGGTGGTCGGAGCACGTGCACACACACGGATGTTTGTCCTCTGGTGACCTTCTCTCCCTTGTCCCTACTGACTGTGCTCTTATTGAATTGCCATTTAGAATGTCCTTCTCTTCCAACCTCAATCACTACGGGATGGTCCACGTGGCCAGTGTGAGTGATGTGCTGCTGGACAACTCGTTCACTCCCCCGTGCCAGCGGATGGGCGGAATGGTCTCTTTCCGCACGTTTGAAGATTTTGTCAGGTATGTGGGGAAGCTGATGGTTGTGTTCCTTGGTGGGCCCAAATGGAACTATTTAGAAGCAGGCTCAAAGTGATCCTGAGCTTGTTTGTTCAGCTTTTGGGGTGTCTGGTGGGATCCTCTCATCTGCCTCCTTCAGCTAATGGAAATTTTCAGGCTGCTGCCAGAGCAGTGTGCAGCCAGAAGGAGCAGCATCCAGAACTGCTGCTGGCTGGAGATCATTTGCTTCTGTGCTGATTTCCAGTGCTCCTGTACACAGGGGAGGGGATGTTCTTTGTGCTTCCAACGTTTCTGGACTAGACAAAAAGGACAGCAGAGCTCATAGCAGTCATGAGTGCCTGCAGCCATAGGATCTGTGACAAGTGCTAGAAGATCCAGGCTCTGCTCCGGTGGAAGGGTGGAGGAGATGCTGCCTCCTCATATTTCGAGTTTCAGTCCTGCAAAGGGAAGCAGTCCTTTTCTCTCCTCTCCTCTTAGCAATGTGATTTGTGGATTTTAGTGCTGTATGCCTTCAGTGAGCTACAGCAGTGTGTTTATGACTAATACTTCTCTGGTGTATTTCAGAATCTTTGATGAAGTGATGAGTTGTTTCTGCGACTCTCCTCCCCAGAGCCCAACCTTCCCTGAAGCTGGCCATGCTTCCCTCTATGATGAAGATAAGGTACAGTAATTTTTCTCTCTGGAGGTTGCTCTCAGTTTGGAAATGGAAGACATGCAGAATGCTGCAATGACTGCAGGCTAGATACTTTCCACTTGTTCCAGTCCTGGAAGCAGGAGTTAAGAGCTTTATGTATTTATGTATGTGTTTTGTTTGCTCTTTTCACAGCAGGTGAATAAAAGTAGGTGGCCATTTCCTGATTGTTCTAAAACCAGAGCTATGTCTTACTCTCCATGTAAATTCAGATTGTTGCTTTTAGCATCAGTAGAATTACTGAATTCATGGCAGTGTAACTGAGAGCTCAGACACTGAGTAGGTTTCCACTTGCTTTACATCTTGACTCTACTCTCTCTTCTGCCAGTTAGAACTCTTTTTATGAGAAAAAAGAGAGTTGAAGCCCTGACAGTTTTTGCATTGACATGGAGAACAGGTGCAGGGGGAACAGATGGTTTGTAATTCTTAGTGACAGAAGAACTGCTGTCCCTGGCACCACAGGTAGCTGCTCACTGCTCAGTCCTGCCTCCCAGCAGCTGGGAGCTCTGTTGCAATACAGTCTGTGTTCAGAACAGGGCTTGGTTTTAAACTTAGCTGTTGATCTTGATGCGTGTAAATACTGAGGCCTTGTTCTAGAGCATTGCCATCAACCTTAATGTCCTCAGATCTTTAACTCCTTCTCACATCACCAAGGAAAATTTCCAGTTCATACTCAGTTTTTCAGAGTTAACCACAAGTTTCTGTGCACTACATTTGTCATTTCTCAGACCTCCAATATGATTGACACTTCCACATTATTTCATTCTGTTGTAGATGTGAAAGTGCACGATGTTTTGCTCTTATACTAAATTTACTTAATACCATTACCTTTCAAGATGCCAAAGCCCTTTTATACCCTGCCAGCACTGCATCTCATGAGGAGAGGCTCTGACACTGCATTCATTTTGCAACCAAATGAGACACGCTTGAGTTCACCAAGTCGGAGCTGGATCCTCCAAATGAAGCTCCTGTTTGCTGTTTGTGGATTTTCTCTCTTACTTCTGAAAATGTGAACTTGTGGGGCTGCTTGATCAAGGATTTCCCCCGTAGTTCTCCTTACTTGATAGCAAACTCTGCTGAAGTCATCTGTTTCCTACGGGACTGAGTTTAAGAGTTGTTGTTCAGTTTATTTATGTGGCATGTGTTCTTCAAATTGCAGGCTGCCCGTGAGGAGCCCATTCACATTCTTAATGTTGCTATTAAAACTGATGGGGACGTTGATGATGATGGGCTGGCAGCCATGTTCAGAGAGTTCACACAGAGCAAGGTAAGTCAGCTCAGTTCTCCCCCATTCTGGAGCAGGCTGATTGTTCAGGACAGGTCTGTCTGCTTTGGGAAAAGTCAGTGTGCTTCTCAGATGTTTTTTCCAAAAGCAAATAAATAAATGCAATAGTTGCATCCTAAATTTATCCCGTCTAAAATCTTACCATTTCATTGTTTGGATATAGCTATACTTTTCTGAAGCCTCCAAAGTGGACACTGAAAACCACACAGCTCTCATTTCAGTTTGTAGTACTTTGTGGTCCATTCTAATTCTTCAGCTCAGGACTTTTTTCAGTTTTTGGTAGGGTAAAAGACCTTAAAAAAAAAAATTCATCAGATGATTTTTTTTGCACCACGTGGAATTGCTTTGGTATACTTTATTGCTCCATGAGATTCACTTCAGAGTATCAAGAATGAATCCTGTGGCTGCTTTTGAGAAAGTGTGTGCTGGGGACAGCCACTTCGTGTCCGCTCTGCCCTCTAGTGCCTGTCTTCACTTGCTTTCCTGATGGGCGTGGAGAACTCAGGCTTGTTGGTATGAATAGCTCTCCAGGCACTGGGAGCCTGCTGCATCCATGCTACCTGCAGTGGCTGTGAGGGTACTGAGAGAGCAGTTTCTGACTTCACTTCCCAGCTTGAAAGTTAGTTATACGTTCTGCAGAAAAGAGGGGTTCCCAGAAGGGACTGGTATCTGCTAGACTTCAGCAGCTTCCTGTCTCTTTAAGCAATGAAAATAATCAAATATAAAAATTAAAACTAGTTCTCCTTTTCATCTTCTTGATCATGCTCGAGGCGTTTTATGGGAGGGGATAAAAGGAAAGAAATTAAAAAAAAAAATAAAAAAATCCCAAACACATTAAACTATCAAATAGGTTGATCCAAATTGTCCAAATAATCTTCTAGTCCCAGCATGTTGTGTGTGTTTTTTCTAATAGAAATTAGGATCATATACTTGTAAATGACTTGTGGAGGAGATTGAGGCAGTCAGTGTAAATGGAGTTTCTCCAGGTGCTGATGGCTAATCGCTCTGTAATAGCTGTGGACTTGCTGTGAGACCCGCATTATTACGATGTAATCAGAATCCTGTTGCTATGCTGTTATTGTCTGCCACTTGTGGAATTTTAAAAGCAATAACAATTTTTGCTTTTTAAATCATGGAATTATTAAAGTTATTTTCTTCCTCTTGCTATGAATATAGTCGCTGATGCTCATTTTCAAAGGGCTTAACCTTAGTAAAACATTGCTGTCTGTGCTGAAAGGGGTTGTTTTGTTCCTGGGCTAGCAAAGTTCTCATTTCATTTTTGTTGTTCTTCTTTTTTTTTTTTTTTTTTTTTTTTTTTTATCTTTTTAGCTTTTCAATTGGAAAAAGGAGGAGAAAGGATAAAGTTTTAAAGGGGCAAAATTACAAGTTTTTTAACACTTAAAAAAAACAGCGATGTGGCAAATGCTCATCACACCATTTTCATCTGTAATGTGGCTTTCTGGAATTGGTTCAAGAAGCAACCAGAAAGGGCACATCTGATACGTATCTGAGGAACAGTGTCAAAAATATCATTTGTCACCTTTGTGATATTGGTAGATCCGTCCTTTGGTCAGGGTTGTTCATGTACTGTTTGTGCCAAAATCAAGTATATGGTGTTATGCTTTATTGGATCAGTTCCTTTGGAAGGATCATTTTCCATGGCCTTTCCATGCCTACCTTGTGCTCCCTTCAGAAAGTAATATTTGCAAAAAGACCAATTTGTGTTGGCCAGTGAGAGAAAGCCCTTCAAGACTTGTAGCCTGCTGTTCTTCTCTGCTTGTTGGCAAGGTTCAGCTGGGGTGCTTTGTCCTTGCCATGTGCTTACTTACCTCTGCAGATTTTATGAATATCAGCAGATGGGAGATGGTAGCTGTGAGTGGATCAAAATGGGCTGGGAATGAACTTGCAACAGAGATGCAGAAGAATCTGTAGAGCTTTTCTGGTTCAGAGAAGACTTGCACTTGTTCTTAATGTGTTCCTCCTTTGTGAAGCTAAGTCTTGATTCCTTCTTTTCCTTTTGCAGAAATCAGTCCTGATTGAGCATGGCATCCGGAGGCTGACATTCCTTGTGGCACAGAAGGTATTTTGGTGTCTCTCATGCTGCTAAGAACTCTTTGGTTTCTAGTTCATAGAAGCGTTGAATTTATTGTGCTTGTCACAAATTAAATACTATAACTGCAGTTATTTCTGACTTCACTGTTTTTGTTCTTTTAAAATTGGAGATTGTTTTGATGAATTTGCTTAAGAAAATTAATTTACAATTGTAAACAATCTTGGCACCTCATGTAATCTTGAATTAATTCATTTTTGATTTTCATTCTAATTGCTAGCTTTCTTCTGCTTTTTTTTTTCTTTTTTTTTTCTCTTCCTGTGTTTGTGTGGTTCGTTTGTAAGGACTTCAGGAAACAGGTCAACTGTGAGGTGGATCAGAGATTTCATGTAAGTAAAAAAGGCTCTGGAACATGGTGGTATTTCTGATGAGAGGCCAAGAGACTCGTAAGTGACTCTGGGTTCTCATTTGGTTCTTAGCCAGGCCTTTGATGCCAACATTGTGTCAGTGTTGAATTTGAACATGAGGCTGGACCTGCTGCATTCAGCAGGGCTGCTTCCATGCTCGCTGCCTGGCTAACCTCATGGCTGACACTCTGACCAAGGTCTTCATTGTATCAGTATAGTTCTACATTCTGAAATCAGACACATTTTTGTATTTCATATGTGCTGTGGTGATTTCTTCAGTCTTCTCACTGATTTCAGTATAACTTAGAGGAATGATTGAAGTGACTTGCTAAATTTTGTCTGATGACTTAATGATGTGGAAAATGTTTGGTGCTTCTGCTGTGAATTACTTCTTTCTCCTGGGCTTTGGCATCAGCAAGACTTAGCTTGGCCCTGTTTTCAAGGTGGCAATGCAAAGCATAAACAGTATTTTTAGCCCTTCTGTAGCTGCTTTACAACTCTGGAGGTTGTTAGGAGTCTTTAAAGTGCAAGAAATTCATCCTGTGTTTAATGAACCTGGTTCAGCAAGTTGAGCACTGTGTGGGAATCCCTGACTGTGGTGCACAGACAGGTACTGGTGAGCGGGTTAGGTAGGAATTGGACTCTTAGAAGGAAACCCTAGCTTTAGATGGGAAAAAATGAATTTTTAGAGAATTGATACTTGAAGAATGCAAAGCAGAAGTCTACGAATAAGCTCTGTAACATGCATCAGTGATCAGGCTTGGACCGAGTCAGCCTTGTGTTGGCCCTGAGCTGTGCTGATGTCCTGTGCTGCTAGGATGCTCCTGAGCCAGAGGGTGCACTGCACCATCTCATCTGCCTGCAAAGTTTCTAGAGCACCACTGGGACGTTTTGTGAGTGTCAGTCTTTATTACCATCTCCTGTTCTATCCCGTTTATTATTGGACCAACTATTAACTTAGCCAGGGCCCAGGCTTGGGTTTGTTTTTGTTTTAATTACAGTCTATATAATTAGTTCCCAGCATGTTGAGGTAATAGAGAGTTGCTCCAGCAAGCTTCCAATTTCCTCATCTCATTAGGTTTTTAACGTGATTATTAGTATAATAATCAACTATGATGATTTCTGTTGTAGCTTTTCACATTCTGCGATTTGCAGGGTGTCTTGATTGGCTAATTTAGGCAAATTATTTTGATTGTCTTGATGATGGTTGGTTGATGAGAACACAGCAGGGGTATAATTCTTCTGCCTAGGAAATGGAGCACTCTTTTGGATTTTGGTACCAGAGCACTGAGAAATTTTTTTGTGTGCACATCTAATTATTATATTTGCCCACAACAATAGTCAAATGCCTTGAAAGCAATTACATTAGTGATAGAATGGGCATGGATGATATTAGGGGAAATTGGCAGTGTGCAGGGGGGAACAGGTGGGAGGGATTTGGAAGAGAAGTGAGGAAACATGGAAGTCCTGTGTGTGCTTGTTGCACTGCTGGTCCTTGTAGGCTCACCTATGTGCCCGGGGCCTGAATTTTCAGGCAGGGTTCCCTTACTTCTAGCTAGTCCACACTCCAATCAAACACAGGTTCTTTTGTTCAGCTGAGAGCTATCAGGTGGCATTCCAGGGACTGTTTTTTATGGGAGGTAAAGATGATTTACTAGGGGGTTACTCCAAGCCTTAAAAGCTGTGTTGCTCAGTGGAGCCTCATATTCAGTCATTATTTGCTGTTTGTTGCACTGAATCCAGCTAAGCTTGCATGTCCTTATTGACAGTGAAAATGTGATTCAGAAATTCAGTGACTTCAAGTCAGATACCACCTTTATTTCTTAATGAGACAGCTCTGGCCAGTTGTGTGTGCTCCTTTATGTTACCTGCAGTACAAATGGCTGGTGTTCTCATGTTAATGCAAAGCATTCAGAAATGTTCCTCCACGCAGTGCAAGTGCAGTTCCACAGAAACAGATGTAATTGAGGGTGTACATAGCAGGATGCTGTCTAGTCTCTCTGCTTTCTGAGACATTCAGTGCACCACAAAAAAAATATAAACCTTCTATATTTTGCTAGGATATAATCTGAACAATAGAATAACAGAGAAACCTAACCATAGCTGGGAGGTTTTTCTGGAGTACTACTTAATACATGCAATGAAGTTCTGTTATTACAATCCATGCTTTTCATTGGAAAGAGGATATTTCTAACAGTAAGGATATGAAGATAACTTAATATAGATTGTTGTTCTGTGTACATCAGCGTACATAATAAGGTGTTAATATTATTGTACAGCTCCCAAACGTTTCCACAATCACTGCAGTAATAACAGAACTAGAAGAAGTTTCCCACTGCCATGTCTGGACAGTTCAGTTGTATTGCCTGTTGATAATTGATAACAACAATAAAAAGCCAGTCAAGTAGCATTTGTTGCATTGGCGGTGAAGACAGGCCTGAACTACCTCTGCTGCCTTGTTGGGGGTGACTTGCTTTTCCACCGCTCTGTAATGCTGTAAAAGTAGCTTGGAACAACTTCAGTGATCTCCTGTGTTATTCCAGGTGGATCACTTTTGGAGGACTAATGTCATTATTTTTGTTTTCAGAGGGAATTTCCAAAGTTCTTCACGTTCCGTGCCAGGGATAAGGTAAGTTGTACAATCTAGATTCTTTCTTCTCGAAGCACTTCCTGTATCCTTCTCTCATGTAGCTGCTCGTGCTGCTGTTGTGGGGAGCTGCTTCAGCTCAGCTTCACTGCACAGTGGGGTATCTTCACCTTCCCACACAGCAATAGATTTCAAGAACAATGATGAGTCTCTGGTAACGTGGGATAAAAATTAATGCATTCGGAACCTGACTTAAAGCTTCTGTGTTTGTGGGTTTCATTCACAGTGTAACTGGGGAAGTGTAGAAGCTGTATAATGATTCAATACCAAACTTTTTGACTTCCATGAATAAGGGGATTCCTGGGGCAAGAGCTGGAGAACTTGCTGTCTTACAGTGTGCGTTCCACTCTTAGTAGTTCAACAATTTAGTTTGAATTTTTAGCCTCTTAGTGCATATGAATGTAATATAACGGATGTATGAATGAATGTAATGGGTATCATCTAGATTTCTGCATCCTCAGTGTTCCACCCTCTTAACCCACCTCTTCTTGTACGTCCTTCCCTCTCTGCACGTGCTGCATTCCTCCAGTTTGAAGAAGACAGGATCTACCGCCATCTGGAGCCAGCTCTGGCTTTTCAGCTGGAGCTGAACCGAATGCGAAACTTTGACCTCACTGCCATTCCGTGTGCCAACCATAAAATGCATCTCTACCTGGGAGCAGCTAAAGTTGAAGTAGGAACAGAAGTGACAGACTACAGGTTCTTTGTGAGGGCCATTATAAGGCATTCAGACCTAGTTACCAAGGTGAGTTTTGTCACCCAGCTGAGGTCTCTTTCCAAGACAGCCTATAAAACTCTGTAAATCACTTGAGAATCTGCCTGAAAACATACAGCACATATAGAGTGCTGCAGTTGCGTGCCCTCTCTTTGCTCACACTGGCTTTGCAGCAGCATGTCTTCAAAGACAGTATTTCTGTACCTTACAGAGATTTTTCTCTGGGCTGTGGATAGTCAGAAATCCCTGCAATGGTATTTCTCTCTGTTTCTCCTGCTACTGGAGCAATAGTTTTACCTGTCCAAGTTCGCATTTATGCTGACCTAAACAAGTCAGCTGGATATGTGGACCCAGAAGGTGGGAGTACTGACTCTGTGACTGTGATTGATCTGTTTTAGCACTGCACATCCTGCTGATACTAATGTAACCTATTTTCTCAGTCAAGTCCTTCTGCAGTTTTTCAAAAGCTGTTTACTTGGGCTGTGATTTTTGAATAGAAGGTAAATTATTTGTTGACAATGTCTGGCAGGAAGCCTCCTTTGAGTATCTGCAAAACGAGGGAGAGCGATTGCTTTTGGAAGCCATGGATGAGTTGGAGGTGGCATTTAATAATACCAACGTGCGCACTGACTGCAATCACATCTTCTTAAATTTTGTGCCTACTGTCATCATGGACCCATCTAAGGTATGGCCTTTTTGCCAACCCTGAACTGTTTGTTTTTCTTGGGCTTTGCTCGCCAGAATAAATGGTCGTTTGCTGTCTTTCTATGCTGTGTAAGTGCACCTATTGACTGAATGCATTTTAATGGCTTGGTGAATGACGTGCAGCTCCTACCAGCTTTTTTATAGCAGAAATCACAAGAAGTTGGGGACTAGTGTTAGAAGTGGTAACGTGAGAGTCTGTTTAGTTCCTCTAAATATTGGATTTCTGCTTTTCAGTAGTGAGCCATGGGAGTGCTGAGAGATTCTGCACTGCTTGTTTAGTTATTTAATGACTAATTTTGATTTCTTCTTGTCAGTGTAAGTCATATGGAGTATACTTCTGCCTTGGGAATGAGCTAATAGTGAATGTTACTACCAGATAGAAACAGAGTAATGCTGTGTGTTACCCCAGAAGCTGTTAGGGATAGCTTTGGAAGCCTTTTAGGTAAAAAGAGCTCTAACATCTCTGCTATTTGCAAGAACCACTTCTCATGTTCCTTATGTCTTTTAAAGACATGAGGGATTAGAATGGATAAATGAGAGTCTATAGGCATAAATTACATTTCTGGATAGCAGACCACTGCAGAGGAAGTCCTGAATATGCTGTAAAGGCTGCATGGCAGCGTTTGGTTGGGAATCAACATTCTGCTCATGGTTACCAAAAGATATGAGAGCTGACCTTTCCTTATGAGAATAACTGAAAGTTTAAAAAGATGAATTGGTTATCGGAGTAAGGATCTCTTGCTTGCTGACTTTAACTCATGATTAAAAATTGGTGATTTAAATTGTTTTTGAATAAATGCTCTCTCAGTGAATCCTGACCCGTCAGTTCTCAGGAGCACCAGGGGTGTGCAGCCCTGCATGTTGGGCAGCCTTCAGGTGCACACCGTGACTTTTTCCTGAGCAGCGGTGGAAAGGAGACTTTTTTTTTGGAAAGAATGTTAAAAACAGACTATAAATTGCCTTCTTTTAATATGCGCTATTTGCCAACAGTAGTATATTACAAAGTTTAATAGAAAAGCAGAAGGCCAAGCTCCAAGCAGTAATTACTTTGTTGATTTAAAGCACTGTACTGCGTGTGCTGTGAAACATGATTATTGTGCATATAAGAGCTACACAACTGTTTGTCAAGGATTTCACTTTCCTGTGTTTTGTAACTCTGAGCTATGCTTGCAGGAGAGAGGTCAGTACAGGGGACGCAGTGCTTGGCGGGGGAGTGAGGTGCCGGCAGGGGGGGGAGGTGTCTGAGTTCAGTGCCATCCCTGCGTTTTGGGTCCTGCTCCTGCATATAAGAGTTGTCAGGATGAGAAGAGACCAGCAGGGTCTGGTAGCAGCTGTTTGGAGCTCTCTTTCTGCGGTCCCAAAATGCTGGGCTGCCCTTGGAGCAGAAGCTTACAGTGCTGTGTCCAGTAAGGTGAGGCAAGTTCTGCTGTGTTTTAAGATCGAGGAATCGGTGCGGAGCATGGTGATGCGCTACGGGAGCCGCCTCTGGAAGCTCCGCGTCCTCCAGGCCGAGCTGAAGATCAACATCCGGCTGACGCCAACAGGAAAGGCCATCCCCATTCGTCTCTTCCTGACCAACGAGTCGGGCTACTACCTGGACATCAGCCTGTACAAAGAGGTGACGGATTCCAGGACAGGGCAGGTATGGTTCCACGTGGCTCTGTTGTTTTGTGCTCAAATATTACACCTGATAGAGCTCTTCTGTGGTTTGCTGTGTTCTCAGGTAATATAAAATGGCCATACCAATATGAAACTTTGCCACACCAAGAAAAGCATATCATTGTAAAGTAATCTCACAAGAGGAACATAGGAGTAGTAAATATAATGTTTTGTAAAAGTGCACGTCCTCTAATTGTTTTGTGTATGCTCTCAGAAGTGCGCTGTGAATTTTGGGTAGTTGTGTTTGGAGCCAGGAGCTGGACTTGATGCTTGTGGGTCCCTACCAGCCCAGCATGTTCTGTGATTCTGGAGGTGTAGGGAATGACTTGGGTAGGGTGCTATAAAACTGTGGAAGGTGCTTTTATGTCATTTTTATTAAGCGTAATGGGCTCTTTTGCAGTGGTTACAGCTGTTCAGGTCTTTGTGCTTTTCATGGCGTGAGAATATTGCAGCTAACTCAAATCCTTACGTATCCTAACGTGCATGAACCATAGGAAGCATGAAAAATATTTAAAATCAGGAATGTTTACATCTCCCGCTGTAATAATCTTCCTGCCATGCAGAAATAGCAACAGAACAAATTGCCTGGGCAGCGTTAATGTGCAGCCCAGAGTGCTGAGTCACCTCTTCTCCCCCTCTCCTCCATTGAATTCTTGCAGCGTGCCGCCTGGCTGCACAGTCTGTCCAGTTCTGGAGATCTCAGAACAGGTAGCATCCACATGTTTTACTTCATTTCATGCCTTCGAGTGGGGACGAGGAAAGAGAAAGAACGTTTTAATAATCTGCAGTAGCTGAGCTTTACCCTCAAGTTTTGTTAGTCACTTGTGAAGGTCACTGTGGATCAGTATGGGTTCCTAACACAGAGCCTGGCCCAAATGTGTGTTGGTCTGAGCAGATACCATCAACAGAGCAGCTTCACAGAGCAGTGTTTTTGAAAACAGTGTGAACTGTTCCTTTGAATATAAAGCCTGAAATAGACTTTTTTGCTGAATTTTCTTTCTTGTGGAATTCTTCAATTAACTCCCCCGCAATTAGAAAACATCTGTAGTTTACAGTATCAGATCTGATAACCATTCTGTCGATAAGAAAGCCTGATCGTGTTGCTTTTGTTAGGTGCATTTCTATGGGGCAGCATCTGTGCAGCACTGTCCCAGTTATGCAGTGCTCCTCGTGTTTATTTCTCAGTTGAAATAGATTTCCTTCCGAGTCCTGGCTGAGTGGAATATATAGTGCCATGAAGCATGGCAGCTGATAATTCATGTTGCTACTCTGGGAAAATCTTTTAAACTTATAATATCAAAACTTCAAGCCAAATGACATATGCAAGTCTTGACCTAGCTTCCATGATCAGTCAGTGGAGATACGGATACAGTGCTGTTCGACTCCATAAATAACAGAGTTCTCCTCTCTGCTCCCAGCTATCACAATCCATCGGCATAGATACGGTGTCAGGGGAAATACTGGTGAATGTGAAGTCATCTATGTCACCGGGTTTTTTCTGTGGGGACGTGGCTCTGCTCACTTTGCTTTCTGCTGTAATGCAGTAATAAGTCAGTGATGCTCAGATCCACACGGTTATGGTCCAGCACTGTCTCCAAAGGGTAGTAATGCATGATGAGGCATGGTGTTATAGGGTATGTGAGTATTAACATATTTGTAGGGAACAGAAACAAGCCTGGCCAATGTGGAATATCCAGATGATTTTTGTTAAAATGTGAATGAGGGAGGTCTGTGGAACTGGTGGATTAAACTGTAATTGGCTGTGTCTTCTGCTGCAGATTATGTTCCAGGCCTATGGGGATAAACAGGGACCACTTCATGGGATGCTGATAAATACCCCATACGTGACCAAGGACCTTCTTCAGTCCAAGAGATTCCAGGCGCAGTCTTTAGGGACATCCTATGTCTATGACATTCCTGAGATGTTTCGGCAGGTGAGAGCTCTTTGTTAAGGCCTAGTGGATTGTTCTGAACTTCTGTATCTGCAAAGCACTTCTGTGCGTTGCCATCCCTGCTTGTTGGGAAATGAGTGGCCTGGAATGGCTGACAGTGGCTCCCTGGGGTCTGCACAACTCTGAATTGGGTTGGCTTTGAAAACAATGAGGATTCTTGATACACTGCTGCTGTAGCTCCATTACAGCAGAACTTGAAATGTAAACTGTCTTGCATTTCTTGTTTCTGTTTCTTTGTTTTACCACCCTGTTATCCAGCCTTCCTGAAGGTTGGCCAGTGCATGCATTATAAAACGTGCTAATGAGTTTCGGAATTGATTGTGTATCTGATTTGCTGGGCTCTGTCCTGAATCATGTAATTTGAATTATGCTAATTTGGGTGAAACTGTGTTTCGTAGTTTAAATTCCTAAATAAGTGATATCCACTGAATACTGTCAGTCAAATTGTGGGGAGGGGGGATTTTAGAGTGCTCTGTCTTGAATGTTAATTCACAGCGGATTGAACAAAAGCATTTTCTCAACAAGAATTTGTCTCTTCATCCTCTAGTCTTTAATTAAACTCTGGGATTCTATGAATGAACATGCATTCCTGCCAACACCGCCGCTGCCGTCTGACATACTGACGTACACTGAATTGGTGTTGGATGATCAGGGCCAGCTCGTGCACATGAACAGGCTGCCAGGAGGAAACGAGGCAAGTTGCACTTTCTTTAACACTGCTTTCCTTTCCATGTCCTGCAGTACGTTGTGTCTTGGACTAGGTTTGACAATTGTAATGAAAATTTACCAAGCCAGCCACAAAATCTATTCGTTCAGTCTTTCACAGATGAAATCTCTCTCTTGAAAATGGGATTTTTGTTTCATTAAAAATTAATACCTTCCATACAATGGATATTTTAAACTCCATAGTAAATGATGATTCCATTTCAAACCTGTGCCTATGCTATTTTTTCCTTCATAATTAAAAAGTGCTCGTTCAGCTATTCCAGGTAACTGGGGTTTATATTTGAACCAAATATGTTTTACAAGACTAAATAGAAATGTTTTCATTTGCTTAAAAATGAAAAACCAATTTTATGCTTGCCATTGAAATACTGCAGTGTTTGTGTAGCACGTGGGCAAGGTGTGTGCAACATCCCCCTCTAGTGAGTGATTTCCATGGGACTAATGGGGCTGCTAATGCTGCCAGACTAATTGCTGCTCCTTCAGCTGCCCGTGGAGGAGGCTGTCCAGCTGTGGGCTTTTGCTGCTGTGTTGTGTCAGCAAGCTGTGGGATGCAGCATTAAAGCAGCCTGAGGAGATAGCCAACTAGTAGCAGGTTTGGGGTTGTTTTTGTTTGTGTTTGGTCATGGCTAGGTGGGATTCCACAAGTGAATGCTTTGCAGTAATTCCAATTTCAATTTTTCTAAGTGATGGTGTTGATGTTTTTGGCATTGCTGAACTAGCGTAGTGCCTTTTACTGGTTATGGAACGTAAGACTTGTCCAAACGTTGTTATTACACTGAGAACATCAAGGATGGTGGTGATGAGAGGAAATACGGGTTGTTATCACTGTTTATTACACATCTCTTATTGGGGGAAGGTTTTGAAAATAGTATTTTTGGATTGAACCTAATTAGTCAATGGTGACTACGAGAGCAGTGCTTCCTTGCTGGCCTATGGCAGAACCACCTTAACTAGGACAATTAAACCCAGCCGGGGCTGTGCTGCTGTGGAGCCTCCCGCCATCATCCTTCTCTTTCTCTGCACTCATTCAGTGTCTGAGTGGATGGTGGCTGGGGAAACAGCAAAGTCCCTCAGGGACGTAGCTCTGCTCTTGCTGAAATTACAAGCACGGAGCTGCCTGGGCATGAACATGTACTGTTTACTCTGCCAGTATGAATACAAATAGTCTTATTATAAGAGATTTTGTACCCAAAGACCACCAAAAAAAAAGAAATTAGGAGTTTTATTTAACCCTTGCTAGACTTCGTTGCACTCAATCTGCAAACAAATTGTGTGGCTGTTGCTGTGTGTGCAGTGTTATCTCCTGGGCAGGATCCAACCCTCCCAGGGCAGTCAGGCTGAGGGGTTCAGCCGTTGGAAAGCAGGACAGAGAAATGCAGCATTCCCCCATGTTTTTCAGTCTCCTCAAGATGTCCTCTTACAGAGGTGCACAGCAGGTGCTGCCCAGCCCTCCAGCAGCAGCAGGGCCGAGGCGGGGGCCTGGAGGGCAGCACCAGGTTGGCTGCCTGCCGAGCGGTCCAGGCGAGGTGGTGCTCAGCTGCCAGGCAGTTACCGTGGGACCATGTGCAGCTGGAATGAGGTTTGAGGCGTCGGTATTGAATTCTGTTAGCAATAGCTGCTGCACACAATAGCGCTCATTCAGATGGGAGAGCGGTCAATCTGAGGAAGGGCTCCGGCAGCACTCTGAAGGACAGGTGACATTCACGGGGTGACGAGCTGCCGAGCGGATTCATTCCTCCCTGCTGCACTTCCTTTATCAGGATGAGCCGACTTGAGGCTTTCAGGGTTTAATTTTGCTCAGCTGAGGAAACAAATTTTCACAAGCGTGCGCTCGAGGCGCTCTGTCCAACAAAGATGGAGGCGGGGTGCTGGCGGGGTTCAGGCAGGGGCCTTGCCTTTGTTAGGGCTGCTCATATTCAAAGGGGGAAATACTTGGGACTGTTGCAAGGATAATTTAAGCAAATACGTTCTAAGAGTCTTAATTTGTGCTTGCTGAGTGCTGGTTGTTACAGGACGTGTGCTCCCCCAGGTTTGGTTAGCAGTGCCTGATGGTTGGTGCCTGGGGGCTGTGCCCCAAGCTGTGAGCTGCGCCCACTGCAGGCCTCGGTGAGCTGCTGGCTTGGCAGGGTAGGGCATTTCCAGGGGAACGGGACTTATTTTTATAGAGGGAAGTTGTGGCTGTAATCAGTTCAGCTGCTGCTCAGCACATTCAGGCCTCTGTCACTGTTCTGCCTGCTGGTGGGCAGGAAGATCAGGGCAATGCTGTCAGAAATGGGATTTGATTTTTGGGTGATCCTTTGTGGAGTCAGTTGAACTTGAGGATCCTTGTGGGTTCCTTCTAACTCGGGATATTCTGTCATTCTCTTATGTTTGTTTTATATCAGAGATTCAGACAGCTATTCCCCCACGTGAGGAGCGCCTCACCAGCGTGGTATCAGCTGTGCTGGGGCAGGGCTTGTCTGTTCTGCTGGGGCTGTGCTACCCAGTATGAACAATTACATTTTCTCCATGTGAAAAGGGGTCAAGACACTCCTCCTCTTAAAGCATTCAGTTCAGCTAAGTGCCCTAATTGTTTTAGCCAGCTGGTGAAATTGAGAAGCTAGCATAAAATCCGGAGATTTGTGGCCACTGCATTCAGCTGGATGTCAACAACAGAGGCTGCAATCCCTGCTCTGATACTGGGCAGAGCAAGAGCTCAGAGCTGGGAGTCTCCCATCCTCACAGGCTCTGCTGGCTGTGTTCTGGGCTAACCAGGCTGATGCTGTTTTTGTTTTCAGAGAAATCTGTGAAATGGGAAATCTCAAAGAACTTTCACAGTGCGAGAGGTTTTTCTCTGTTTAGCTTATGACCACTTCATGTAACCCACCACCTCATTTGGCAGTAATTATCTCTTTGCTGGTAGTCTCAACAAAGAAGCCAAGGACTTAATGGACCATGAAAATACAACTTGTTATTTATTCCTAGGCAGTGCTAGCTCCTTCTGAGCAGAAGATCTGTCCTGTCATGGCCACGCGGGGGAGCCTGCCGTGCTGCTGGCCATGCCGTGTGCTCTCATAGCCCAGAAGGCATCACTAATGCGGGGCCTTTTTCCATTCCCATGCCCTCTCAGTACAGCCAGAGCTCTTGCTGAAACACATCTGCTGTTTCTTTGGGCTGCAGACAGAATCCTGGATGTTGCCTCGAGCTGTCTGTGAGATGATGTCTGTTCCACATCCTTCACAGTAAGCTCATGAACAGTCTTCTGGTCCCCAGTTACTCTTTCTTGTGTGTCCTCTGTTACAATGCTGGCTGCTTTGACACCTCTGCTTACATGTCAGACTGCTCCAGCTAGCTCTGTCTGCTACTGTAACATTTCACTTATGAATATTATCAGGCCAGCACACTTGATAAGATTGAATTTGCAATCCTAAAAAGTTAAGAACAATTTGCAAATAATTTTCGGAGCTGGTAGGTATATATAAGAGAGCTGAAGGAGACAGTATTTTATCAGCAGAATCAAGCACTGGTCGGTAGCTCCCTTCTGATGCTCCTGAGTGTGTTACTGGATGAGGACTGTGGGACAAATGGGGCACTTAATGCACCACTGTGACCACATCAAGAACTAAGCAGCAGAAGGTGGATGCTCAGCCCATCTCCATTCTCAGTTCAGGTAGACATGAGCCTTTGAAATGGTCAGAGTTAATATAGGTGAAAAGAAACAAATCCACTTGCATAAGGTACCAAAAGTACATTTAAACTAAAGTGGAAAATTTCAAGTTCATACCATGCTTAGATCTAGGTTACAGCACAAGACTTCTAACATTCCTGCAAGTTTAATTTCAAAATAAATAAATAAATGGGAGCCTTTCTTCTTAGTGACACAATCTCACATGGGTCAGGAGTGGGATGGGTTCAGTGTGGGACAGAAGCGTGTGGCTGAGACGTGCTGATGTTGGGAAGGATGGGTTTGGGCAGTCCCAGAAGTGGGACCTCAACACCCGCTGATAAGAACCAGCTAATCTCCAGGGGCAGAGAGCTGCGGCAGCACCCCGCGTCACCCTGCATCTCAGTCTCTCTGTAAATGTGTCATTTTCCCTCTTGGCACTAGATGTCACAATTTTTCCTTCTCAGCAGCGTGAGGCTCAGAAGTAATCCTTGCTGGAGGTGTGTTGGCAGGCACCTTCCCCTGGCCAGGTGACATTGCAGCCAGCACTGGGCAGAGGGCTGCAGCAGCACCGCTTCGCCAGCTGCGTGGATCGCCTGGGGCTCGGAGGTGTAGCTAATGAATTTTATACGAGCACGGCTTCGTAGTTGAACTGCACGTTCTGCTTTGTCACCCCGTGTCTCTGCGTTTTATGACAGGCACAGGGCATTAAAACATCCGCTGGGCTCCGTGCAGCAGGCAGATAAGCACTTCTGAGAGAGTGGAGAAGGTGGGGAATTAACGTGAAGGTGAATGGAAACACCCAGCCATCTTCACACCCCACCCCAAACCTACCAGAGAAAAATAGTCGATTCCCTTTATATTTCCCAGTCCTTCTTCTTGATGAGTTGTGGGAGCAATCCTGACCTGAAGGCCCCCGTGGCACTGGGAATAGGTTTAAATAACAGGGAAGCTGGGCAACTATTTGTGCTGCACAGCAGGTGGTGGTGGCTCCTCATCTGCAATACGGTACAATTTCAGGAGGTGATCCTCTGTTGGCAGAATGAGTTTAGCCCCCATCAGCGAGATGCTCGGGTGTCACAAGGTGCAGAGCACGCTTTTGCTGCAAACAGGAGGCTTTTTTATAGCAAGAGATAGAATGTCTGGTGGTGAGTGGAACATAATACAAATTTTTTGGATGTTTATAAGAATATGGCCCAAACTTCTTGCAGGGTTTTATTCAAGTGCCTTCATCAGTAGAGCACAGAAATGATGGTGCAAAGATTATCTTGTATCTTGGTGTGTATATTTGAACAGTTGGACGCACGTTTGCCTACAATGCAGGAAGTTCCTAATGAAGGTTACCCCATGGTCTGTGTGATCCATCAGTCTGTTACTTTATGAGTTGTGAATTGTTTTGGCTGAAGTTTTCAAGCTTTACACCCATCTGGAAGAAGGTATTAATGCTTTGTTTGGAAACCTTCATCCAAAGTGCTCTGTTTAGATGCAAAAGCTGGCAGTGATGTTCCCAATTAATCTGTGGGCTCAGACAGGAGCTTGAATGTATGGAGAATGTGGTTTAGTTCAACACGATGCCTTTAGCTATCTCAGAGTTGCTACAAACATTGCAACGCAGGCGTGGATGCAGTCCGAGCTAGTTTTGCAGTCTTCAGCAGTTGTTGGAGCTTTTGGAGCTCTGTGTGTCCACTTTCGCTGGTCATCAGCCAGCCTGCTGCTTGCCACCCAAGTGCCCTTGGTCTGGTGGAAGGAACCAGGGCAGCAGGAATTCATCTTGGAATCCTTCCAGTCCCAATCCCTTGCAGCTCACACACTGAGCAGCACTTTGCCACGTCTCCTCCTGGAGCCATTCCTCCCCATGGCTCATCCTCAGGGCCCTGCGTTGTGCAGCACTGTGCCTGCTGTGAGCTCGGCTGCACCTCCTGCTGCTGACGGTGCCTTTTTTAGAGCCAAGAAGAGGAAGAAGGGATCCTGGATTCTGCTGTTCCCCTTTTGTCAAGGCAGTAAGACTGAAGGCCACAGCAGTCCATTGTGCCTTTCTTCTGGGAGCTGGCTTGTGCTGAAAACAGTGTTCTGGCTTTTGGTCATGGGTGAGTGTGGGAAGGCTTTCTTATGAGTGTTAGGATCCAATGGTGAAACACAAAAATGGGTACAGCTGCATCAAGTAAAGTTTCTGGGGGTGTGTTTGTTCCCTTAATAAAGCACACCTTGCCCACGGCTGTGCAGTGATGCAGTGTTTGGGTTTAGCTTTGGGGTAGACAGGCTGTATGGAGCGAAACAAGTGCCTGTACCTGTGTTCTCCCAGCATTGGGGTGAGTGTGCATGGCAGGAGGGGTGGGCTGGCACCTGCTCCTCACATGCAGGGCTCCACAGCTGCCACATTTCCTTCCTTACTACCACTTCAGTGCATAATAAATAATGACATAGAAATGTACTCACGTTTTATACATGTTTCCAACATACAAAACTCACAGTACAGTACAGTATAGATGCAGCAGAACGGGAACAAGGCAGCATTTTTTGTCAGGGTTCTTTAAGTTCAGTTAAGTGAAGTGCTTGGGCTCCAGCACCACCCTTGTGGTGGGATAGGAGGAAATAACACCTCTGCGTGGCTCAAGCTGCTGACAAACACTGAGCTGTTGCAGCTTAATCCAGGTTCTCCTCCAGCTGCATTGCTCCAGGGATTGCATGCCTGGAAGGTCCCCCTGCCCAGGGGTGGCATTGCTGGGTCCCCCAGCCCCACACTCATGCTCTCGGGGCAGCTGAGGTCGGCATCGCTGCCGTTCCCCTCAGTGCACATTGTCAGCAGCCCTGGCTGCCACCAGCAGTCAATTTGTCACTGCATCAGTGTGTGTATTACTGCTCACATCGATAGCGCAATTAATGTTGAAGTCAATTTTGGTGTTAATTTTAGGCCATGATTAGTGTTGACACTGTGTGTCAAACGAACGGCGTTTATGAGAGCCATGAAAACGAATGTTAGTTAATATCATGTTTTTACTATCTGTTAATGGTTACATTAAGGCAAAGATCTATTGGGAGAAGATGTGTGTAAAATTATATATATAAAACTTGTGCGTAATGTATGTGTGCTGTGCAATTCTGTGTCGCTGGTGTTATTCAGGGAGCAAATGGCATCTGAGCACTGAATCCTAATCACAGTTTGGAACATCAGAAATAATGATCACTTCTGATCGGGGGTTGTGAATAATTCATCCGGTTTGATTTTCACGTTCTGTCCGGTGATACTTTTCAAACCAAATGTGTTCCTACAGGAGAATAATGGTCCCACTTCCTATGGAAATACTGTGGCACAAATCATTTTGCCAACATAAAAACAGTTAAATAAGACGGTTCCTGCTTTTATTTTTTCCTCCCTCTCCCCTCCGTTGCTGGGTGTGCTGTGAGGAGAGCTGTGGCTGGAGAAGCCAAACTGTGCTGCCTCTGCAGAGAGCCTGCCTGGGAGCCCCTGCCACTTGCCATCACTCTTTGTTGTTCTGACGGTGCTCTTAGGTGATTAGCTCAGCCCGTCTAATTAACCTGTAACCTTAGTGCAGCGTCTAAATGTTTCTTGACCACCTCCATGGGCGGTGATTCCACCAGCTCCCTGGGTGGAGATCCATGTGCCCAACAGCGGCCGCATTCCGTCGTTTTGGGGCATTACAACTTTGCACTTCGCTGTAGTGCTGCTGTTGCAGCAAAGTAACCTGCTGACCTTTTAGGGATTTATGCTCCTGCGTTTGAAATGGCTGCAGTGTCTCTCTCTCCCAAACGCTGCAGTTGGGTGCTGAGATGTAACTGTAAATCTGCAAATATTCGGAAGCAAACAAACAAATTAATCCTGTGTGACATATCCATCAAAACAACTGAGACCATGGAGAAGGTGAACAGAAACACCATCTTTCTGCCAACCCTCAGCCTCAGCTGTGGGAAGGGAGGCAGAAGGCGAGGATCTGCCGCTTGTAGGATTTCTGGGTTGCTGCCTGCTTTACTTCCCGTGACCCTTTGATTAATCCCTCTGTCTTTTTATTTTTTTTAATGAGCCTGTTATGGCATATCTTATTGCAGATACTGATTGGATCTCAACTATATATTGTGCCATTTTGATTTGGATTAAATGGCACATATCTATCTGCTGCTTCTCCGCTCTCCCCCTCCCGTTTTAGTTCATCATGTTCAGAATTCAGAGTCTCCACAATGAGAGTTTCAAACCCCTGATTGCAGCGGATGCGCAATCGGCTTGAGGAATGTGTATTCAGAGCTTATGATCCTTGGGCAAGCAGAGACTGGGTGATGCATGTGGCTTTCAAGGGACGCTGCTATTTCCATCTGTTAATGGCATTCCAGGATGGCCAACTCCCCAGCGCGGGGACGCGCGGCGGCTGAGGGATGGGAGACGCAGGGTACAGATGTTGCTGATCTCCATAAGATGGGCCAGAAGAGATCGTCTAGTGATGTTAAAAAGAAAAATATGCAGCAAAAAGCATTACTTATCCTGGCGGGCTTGGAAAGAAACTGCTGCAGTATTTGTGGAGGAGAAAGGGAAGAGCCAGGGGGATGAAAGGAGGGACAGTAAATAAGAGAGGGAGGGAGGAAATGAAGGGGTTGCTAACATGAGGACAGGGTCAGAGGGAAGCAGGCTGCTGTTATTGGGGTTCCCAAGGAAAAGACTGAAATGCAGCATACACAAGGACCCATGCACAATTCCTTGCTTTCATATCTTGAAAGTGTTCATTGACCTTCTGTTGTTTTCCGTTCTTGGTTGCAGATTGGAATGGTAGCCTGGAAAATGACCCTCAAGACCCCGGAGTATCCTGAAGGCCGTGACATCATTGTCATTGGCAATGACATTACGTACCGGATAGGTTCTTTTGGGCCTCAGGAGGATGTGCTGTTCCTGCGGGCTTCAGAGCTTGCTCGAACTCATGGCATCCCCCGCATCTACGTGGCTGCCAACAGCGGAGCCAGGATTGGTTTGGCTGAGGAGATCCGGCACATGTTCCACGTTGCATGGGAGGACCCAGATGACCCATACAAAGTAAGGAGGCACAGGAAATAGAGATGAAAGTCTGCATAGCTCAGGAGATTATCCTGTTTTTACACAACCTCTTTTAATCAAGATGGGCTACGTATTTGCCAGACTGTTAGGCCCAAAGTTGGTATTGGATCTGTCAGGCAGCAGAACTATTATCCAGAATGAATTAGTGTGAAATGCTGAAAGCATTCCCAGCTTCCAGTGACTTCAGCTGGAGCTCTGATATTGAGACAGGATGTTTGCCTCACTCTTAAATTAAATTTTGCTCCCTTGAAACTCTCTTTTTGGGTAGGGTTGCTGGGAAACGGGAAGGGTCTACAAGTGGGAATGAGTCAGTGAGCTGTTTTTCCCTTCAGGGATACAAGTACTTGTACCTGACACCTCAAGACTACAAGAAAGTCAGCGCTCTGAACTCAGTTCACTGTGAACATGTGGAGGACAACGGAGAGTCCAGGTAAGCACAGATGAGTCTGAATTAAAAGCTTTCTGCACTTCGTACGTGCGAGGGTGGTGTGTGTCACAGCCTTGTGTTCAGCTGAAGAGCTGGAGTTCTGTGCTGTCAGGGCATGGGGCGTGAGGAGTTGTGCCATGCGGTGCCTTGTTAGAGGAAGGGCTGTGCTGACATTGTGGTACTGCCTGGAACTCCAGGCTGTGCCTAAGGGTCCTGCAGTGGTAAATGCTGTAACACCAGGATGATGATTTCTACCCAGGGACTTGCAGTCTAAATTTTGCAAATTACTTTTTGAGTAGACTCTAGAGTAAGGACAGAAGGATTCCTGGATGAAGGCTGAGCTCTCTGCCTGTTCTGAAGGGTTGCACTGCCTTACAGCATTAGGTTTTCCATGCACGTCTCTGCTCCAGGCGGCTGTATTTTCTCAGCTGCATCCCAAAGGTAGCTCATCTGCAGATGAGGTGGGAAGAAGTTTTCAGAGCTAGGTTGAAGCAGGAGTGCTGCTGCTGGCGAGAGGGAGGAGGATGTGCGTGGGAAGAAGAAAGCCTGGCCTGCAGCCTGGCAGGCTCTGGAAGAACAAAGGAATAGCTCTGGGTGCGGGGCTGCGTGCTGCCCGCCTGCGCACGGAAAGTCAGCGGCTCTTCAGTGAGGCACTTCAGCACATGCTCAAGTGCTTTGCTTAGCGAGGGCCTAGTGTGGGAGATAGAAGCCAGTCTGAGAGTGCTGAGTAAGGAGGGACCGTGCTGGGGAAGGAAGGCATGAAAGAAGAAAGTAAAGGTGAGAGCTTCATTATAATCTCTTGTCCTGTTGTTTTGTTTCTTTTGGCTGCATTCTCTTCCTTTCTTGCCTTTTTTTTTTTCTACAATCAGACTGCCTCTCACGTCCTGTGGGGGTGACAGAATGCTTTTCATGGGATCTCTCTCCCTTGACATTTCCTCTTTGCAGTGCTGCTCACCTTGCATGTACATAGGGCTGTTCATGATGCTCAGCAAGGCTGCAGAATGAGCTCCTGTGTGGGTCCGAAATGGGTTTTATGCACATTGCTCTGCAGAGCCTTAATGATATTTAGTCACTTTTCATTTTCTTCATAGCAAACTGATTCAGCAAACCACTGGACCTTGTGACTCAAAGGCTGTATGTGTCTCCTTCAGGTATAAGATAACAGATATTATCGGGAAGGAAGACGGACTTGGAATAGAGAACCTCAGAGGATCTGGCATGATTGCTGGAGAATCATCTTTAGCCTACGAGAGTATTATCACCATCAACTTGGTAATCCCTCGCTGCTTTCTATTCTTCAAACTTTATCGTCTATTTCAGCTAAAAATCCTGTAGTGATATCCTGGAGATACACCTGGGATCAGACATTTGGTTGATGTAAATTGACTCCTGTAGGTATTGAGCAGCACTGTTTGCGCCAGTACAAGGCTGGATCCATTCAGAGTATATGGAGGACACTTTCAGAAAGCAGCCATTGGGCTTCATGTTTGCTCAGTCAGTAAATCACTACTTCTCTCCCTTTTTTAAATAAAATGCATACATGTTGAGATGCTGTGTTTTATGAAACAATAGGTTCTGGAGTTTTGCAACAAGGAGTAGATTTTATAACTTTGTAATACAAACATGACTAGTTTTACTGTTTTATCTAGATGTTTGAATCAATAGGGTTTGGCTGTGCAGTAGGACAGAAATCAATGTGATTTCTTCTGTTGTTTTTCTTTTTTTAAGGTCACGTGTCGGGCAATTGGAATTGGAGCTTACCTCGTTCGGTTAGGGCAGAGGACTATCCAGGTGGAGAACTCTCACATAATCCTGACTGGCTGTGGAGCCCTCAACAAGGTAAGCGTTTACACTTCAGCCTTAAGAGCTATGTGGGATGAGTGGCTGCTTCTGTGAGTTGTGTCTGACATCCGACTGCCATCACTGTACCTGCTCTGTGCTTGGACCCGTTTGCTGTTAGCTTCTGGAAGAGCTGTGAAGGGAGGGCCCCAGGGACTGAGCCCCGACCAAGCAGAAGAACTGGTACAGGGATCATCCAGAATGACTTTCAGTCTCTTTTTGTTCTTTTCTGGTGAGAAAAGTCCTTTCTTGTACCTGTTTTTCTTGACAAGAACATTACACTGATGGCCAGAGGCACTGTTGCAGGCATTCTGGTTGGAGATGAGCGGGGGACCTGGGCAGCACTGCAGACTGAAGGGCTTGAGCCTGAACCAAGTGAAGGGGAGGTTTTAACACCTTTACCAGGTTGTGTGCAGTGACTGAAAGACAGAATGGAAGTCCACTGGGCAGCACCTTCTCTCACCCTCTGGATACTGTGATAGGAGAAGCAGAGTTGTTTCCAGCATCTGGAAGACCATGTTTCCAAATATGTGGGCCAGAATCACCTGAACTTGGTGTTAGCATTGGGAGAGCACTGGAGCCTTGGGAAAGAGAGCGGATGATGATTTTCAAGGGGTGAAACCTGCTGGAAGTCTCAGCTGTCGGTGCAGTGAGGAACAACTGAGGCTGTAAGAAAACTTAGTGCTTTCACTACTAAAATGGCTCTTTTTTTTTCCTTCTCACCAGAGGCGATTTTTCTCCCTTGCTGCCCCCTGCCTATTAATATCCCAGCCTCCAGCTCCTTGTGTGCATCAGACGCGGCTCGCAGCCAGCCCAGCTCTTGTCCCTCTCACTGAGGGCTTTGTTTACATGGGAGTTAGGATTGTGCGGGCGCCAATGCCCTTCCCCATTGTGCAGCTTTGTTCTCAGGCACTCTCCAGCACCTGGGGTGCTTGTGCTTCATCACAAGCTGCGTTTCAAGGAGTGCCTGCCCGACAATGGGAGATAAAAGGAAAATAGTCTCTCGTTGAATTATTCCCCTGAATAAAGGGGGCTCTGCAGAGAATGAAGCATTGATCCTATCAACTCCAGGATGCGGTACCCTCAGTTAGATCTCTTACACACATCACACACACCTGCATCAATGGAAGGAAAAGAGGCATTTGAAGATCCATCCTTCAAAAAGAGATTGAGCCAGTTAGTGCTTGCTGAAGTGAAGTACGTTGCCTGATTCCAGCTGTCATTTGTTGGTGATCAGGGTCCTGCAGAGTTTCCCAGATGGTGCAGCAAGTCTGTTAAGTCGTCTTCTCTTTTCTTTCTGGGTTTAACTGTGTGCTCTGTACACGGAGTGAATGTTTGTTTTTATATGACTAGATTAATCTCACTAAGGTGTTTAGGCACTTAAAAATTAAGGATTTACTCTAAATTAAGCACCTGACATCTGTCAGAAGGCAGAGGCAGAAGGAGATGCTTTCAGGGGGTGTCTTAGCCCATCCTATCCCAAGGACTTTAGTGGTCTGAATCATTCCATGTGTCCTTTTCTCTCACTCCATGCTCTGTTGGAAAGGCATGTACTGTTATGTAGGCACTGAACCTCCAGCTGCCTAAAGGTCGGCAAAGGAGGAGGAGCCTATTGCATCCTCTCCAGCTTTCCCAGTAAGAAGGCTGAAGCCCAGACCCATGAGAAAGTTCAGCTGTCCTTGAGGAGCAGGAGGCTGGGAGTCCCCACTCACCTGGATGTGTCTGTGATGCGCCTTGCTAGTTTATATGATCTTCATTTTTCAATCCCTCTGTTCTGGTGAGAGTTTCTTGAATGGATCCAGCTCTATCTGTGTCCCAGGAGTACATCTGAGGCAGTGAAATGACCTCCATTGCCCTCCTAAAATGTCTGAGCTCATTCCAGCTGAGATCTTCAGCAGGGTGAGAAGCACATGGTGAGAGCGAATGCGTTTGTATGGTCTTGCCATGGAGGCAGTATCTGCTGAAGATTTACACTCTGTCTCCATGTTCTTGTATGTAAACCTTTAAGCACTTTTCCCTTGAATTTGGATGGACTATTTGTTTGCATTCCCTTTTGGCTAGAAGTTGGGTCTCCATCAGCCAGGGGACAATTAAGTGGAGTCTTCCCTTGAAGGAATGCAGAGGCTCTTTGGGCATGAGGTTCGATGTGTTCTTTCTTACAAGTGCATGGATCAGGTTCCAGGAGAGCGTGATGGTGGGAACCTATTGCAGTTTTGCCTCTATGGAGCAACTGGACCTCACTGCTTGTTGTTCCCTTGGATGAGATGCTGAGAAGAGCCCTGTGCAGGAAAGTCAGCGCTTTGCATTGTGGCCTTCAGGTGATCCCCAGTTCAGTGGGCAGGGACTTGGGGAAGGATTGTGCCTGCAACAAAGATAAATAAGTGGAGACTGCTGTCTTGCATGACACTTGGAAATGAATGTTTCTAATACAGCTGCATTCAAATAATCCTTGGGCTTTTCTCAATTTGGCATCAGAAATGTAGGACTAATTTTTTTTATTGCTGACTTTAATTCCTGTCTTCAAAGGTGTTGTGCAAACATTATACACACAGTTGTGTCTGCATACATATCTTGAAAACGCAATGTAAAAATGCTCCCCCAGCAGTGGAGAGAGTAGGGCTTGCCAAAAGTGTTTTTTCTGGAAAGTTTTGATTTTTTATTTTCCTGTGGAATGCTGGGTTGTTTGTAATGTAGAAGGGGAGCAGAGGAGAACCGTGAGAAGCGTTACTTGCCAGCAGATCTGTTGCTGCTCTCGTTCGTTATCATTATGTGAACCCAGTTGGAGAGTTTGGGATTGAGGGGAAGGTCCGGCTGCCAGAATCAGGCTGTGGGCTGGAATGTAGGCGATGAGCTCAAGGTCAGTGTTGCTTTAACAGAGGCTGATGCTGCTGGATCTGGCTAATGGCACGCTGGCTGTTTGCATCCATGTCACCGCGCTGTAAGTGGGGAGGCATGTCACGGCGAGGCACCTGATAGCAGCCGGGTTTGGCATTCTCAATGCCCCACTGCCTGTGTGGGTGACAGGGAAAGCACAGGAGCCGTGCCAGGTTTCCCCGTGCTGGTGATGAAGCCGTCTTTGTTTGCAGTCCAGACCTGCGGGCAGGGGACGGGCCGAGGAGAGGTGCGATGGGCTCCGGGCTGCATTTCATCTGCACCCCTTTTGTCTTCGCCAGCGCGTTTCAGCAGGGGGTGGAGAGGTGGAAATGACATTTCATTCCTCTCCCGTGAGCGTGTGCGCGCGCCTGTGCTGAGCCCGCTGACCCCCCTGGAAATTGAAATAATGATAATGCGCGTCTCCTGACTGCATCAAAGTATCAGCACATCAAAAGCCAGGAGGCATGAAATGCAAATGATAAAGTGAAAGCAGATGGATTGTGCATGATCGCCTGATGCCCAATGAATTTTAAAAGGTGCTGGTTCACATGGGGAGAGGGGCTGAAATAAACACGTTATCCCTGCAATTTTTTTTTTGTTCTTGCCGCTCACTCCTGACAATATTTTTTCACACTTCAGCGAGCAGCCACTCCATCTCCCTCCCTCCCTCTCCCTCTCTTTCTCTCCCTCTCTCTCGTTGTCTACCTCACACACGTCTCGGGTCATGTCGCCGCAGCTCCGGTGGAAATAATAAGATATAAACCACGAGGTTGTTATTTGCATAGAAATAGCATGGAGCCCCAGGCAGCATGGGAGAAGGACACAGAGATCATTTGTCTAAAATTTTAATGAAAACTTTTGCTGAGGCAGAGATTTTTTTTTTATTATTTTTTTTTAACTTTGGCTGCCTCCCCCTTTTCCCACCCCTGTGCCTTCCTGCACCTCCCTCAGCTCCCTTTCCTCGTCACCAGCTGAACGTGCTGTGGTTCCGTGGGCAGGTGACGTGCTGCTGCTGTGCACTCACAGGTTAATTTCCAGTGCTTTTCTTCTTAATAGAAGTAAGCTGAAGAACTCCCAATTTATGCATTGCTTACATGGTTCGAGCTTCCAGGACTGCATTTCATCTCAGTCCTCCCAGGGATGTTCCCAAGTCTGTTGCTGACCTATTTTTAATTAGTTTGCTTCTCCTTGTCTTTTGTGTTGAAAAGAAATCCTGTCTTTAAGGCTGTTTCATTAATGCAAACAAAGAGTGGCTTTCCATCACATTGCTGCCCGTCCCATGAAGTGCTGCCTGCCCAAAATGTCCGTGTCCCCTTGGCACTGTGACTGTCATGGGATGAGGTGTGACGCGGGTTTGACAAGAACTGTTGGGCTCTGCCTGCTGTCTCCAAAATCTTTCATACCTTTCTGAAATTCTTTCCTTGGCATTGTTTCCGACCGTGTGGATCAGTGAGAGCAGCTAAAGCGTTTCTTTTATGAAGAAAAAAAAAAAGTTCTTCCATTTATTGTAGCAAATTTCCCCTTAAGAAGGGTGCTCTGCATCATGGGGAGAATAGTCAGAGAGCATCCAGTGCGCTGTGAAGAGTCTGCATAGCAGAGGGTTGGGAGATGCCAAGGGAATGGATCCCTGTGCTGTGGATATCCATAGGTAAGGAATCACCATGGCCTCATTTACTGCTTGGGCACTGCTGAAATGTTGGGTGAATGCACGGAGCAGATGGACTGGAAGTAAACGATGGTCATATGGAGAGAGAAGTGGGAGCTGCCAGGAGCCTTAATCCATTTGTGCTTGCAGGGTGTGTGGGAAGGCACCTGCCAGCAGTGGTGTTTTGGTGGTACCTCCATCCTCAGAGCTTCTTTCTTTCATCCTCAAAATCATAGTCGTTTAAACAATATCTGATGGTATTATAGCCTGTTCTAGGCCTGAAGGAGCTCAGGAGCCAATATACAGATGTTGGCAGGTTGCTGCTGAGAAAAGTACAGAACCTCCTGGGGCTGCTGGGACTGGGATGGAGCGTGCAGCAGGTGGGGACACGGGGAGCAGCAGCGCGGTCCCTGCAGCATGCATGGGGCACAGGGCTCCTTGGTGGAGCTGTGGGTGAGGAATGGGAGGCTCACAGCCTGCC